TATAACTCGTGTGTGTATATATACAAATATATATATATTAATATAATATAGTATACTATAATATAATATATATATATATATATATTATATAATTTCATGAATATTATAATTCTTATTCGGGAAAACATCTTCCTGTTTCCAACACAATCATTCAGTATTCGAAAAAAAGAACACTCCAACACAATCACAGTTCGACTGCATGATCGTGAGGAAATTGGACTTGCATTTCTTCCGCCGCAGCAATATGTTCATTATATTTTTTTTCGCAAAACCAAGCTTAATTCACGGATGTCAAACTGGCTTTTTTTTTTTTCCATTTTTTGCACTAGAGCTTTTGTTCACCGCTTTTCATACTGCCATGGAAGCATTAGAGACTGCTTATGCATGTAATATTTTAGGATTTGCAGCGTTAAGGATATTATGAAATAATGCGATTTGGGTAATGTTTTATTTGTTCCTAGATTTATAGCAACAATTAGATGATAAAAGCAATCATTAATCCATAAATGCAAAGAACAATCATCTAAAACAAGATTGGATTTTAATGTAAATTCCATTATTCTTCCCTCACTAATGCCGTCTCCTCATTCTCTCTCCCTTTCTTCTATCTCCCTGTTTCATCATCCATTGCTCAATTCCCTCCTTCGTTATCGATTCCATTTCCCTCGCGTCCCTCCACAACGAACTCTTGTTTCTTCCATATTCTTTTCCTATTCGTTATTCCCCTTTCTTCATCTTTTCTTACTAATTCTGTTATCATCTTCCTTCCATCTCATACGCCACACTTTTTCATTCTCTCCCTCTATAATTCCCTTTTCTTCCTTGTAACTAATTTCTCTTTTTCTCATTCCTTCTTTACTCCTCCCTCTCCTTCCTCTTTTTATTTCTGCTTCCAATTCCCTCTTCTTTCCATCAAACGTCGTCTCCTTTTTCCCCCTACCAATTCTTCCTCTCTTTCCCACTCCTCCCTCCTCCTCCTCCTTTTACCCTCCACCCTCCGTCTCCCTATTCTTCCCTCCACTCCTTCCTCCACCCCCTCCTCCTTCTCCCTTCCACCCTAACTGTTCCCCTTCTTCCCTCCACCCTCCTCCTCCCTGTTCTCCCTTCCACCCTCCCCTGCTCCCTGTTCTTCCCCTCCTCCCTCTCTCCTTCCCCTTTCTTCCCCTTTTTCTTCCCTCCTCCTCCCTCCTCCCCTCTCTTTCCCTCCAACCTCCCTCCCTCCCATTCTTCCTCCACCCTCCTCCCCTCCCTCTCTTTGCTCTCTCCCCTCCACCCTCCCTCCTCCCCTTCTTCCCCTCCACCATCCCTCCCTCCCTCCCCCTCTCTTCCCTCCCCCCTCCTCCCCCCTCCTCCCATTCTTCCCTCCACTCCTCCTCTCTCTCTTCTCCCTCCACCCTCCCTCCCTCCTCCCCTCCCATCTCTTCCCCTCCCCCCTTCCACCGCCCACAGAAGCGTCGCGAGGAGCAGGAGCGGCGCGCCAGGCGAGGCGACACCGACCCCCGCTATGAGTACATCTTCCAGGTGCTGTCGGCGTGCACGGGGCTCGCCAAGCACCAGGTTATGGACCACGTCTTCGAGGAGAACTTGGTGCGTGAGATGCGCTTTCGGGATTGTTTTCTTTGTTGTTGTTTGTTTTTTATTTTTGTGTTTTTGTGTGTTTCTTGGTGTTTTTTTGTTGTTGTTGTTTTTTTTTTTTCTAAGAAGTTATTTTGTTTCTTTTTTCATATATTCTTGAGTGTAGAGTTGTGGTTTTGTTTGTTATTTGTTTCTTGTTATTTTCCTGTGCGTGAAATTGTATTTTTGTTTGTTGTTGATGTTGAGGAGTTGAAGTCGTAGTAGTAATAGATGTAGTAATGGTAGCATTAGTAGTAGTTGTTGTTGTTATTGTTGCTGTTGATACCTATGTCATACTGGGTTATTTCTTTGTTGTTCTTGTATCGTGAGTGTGAATTTCTATTACCTATGTTGTACTGGGTTATTTCGCTGTGGTCGCTGTTGTTGTATCGTTAGTGTGAATTTCTATCTCAAATAGATTCTAGATATAACCTGGACGTGAAGATTAGAAGCTTTCCGATAACCGCCTTCATTTTCATTTTCATCCTCATCCCCCCCCCCCCATTGGATTAGATTTCTGAGCGTCTGAATGAAGAAGGGGGACTTAGAATCGTCTTTGTGCATGTTAGCAGTCAACGCCCATATCTGTTTGGGACTCCCATATAATGACATAAATATACCCCTTGCTCTACAAAAATAATGTGTATTTGTACTGTCTATGTACATACAGACACGCACACGAGCAAGCACATATACAGGGATAATTTCAGGTTGTTGGGAATAAATCAAATAATAATGAAGCCATAAGGAAATAGATAAATAAAAATAATAAATGAATAGCACGAGAGAATAATAATTAGATATATAAATGATATTCATTAATGGTTCTGATTGTTCCTTTTCAGCTTGAAGAAATCAGCAAGTTCCTGATGCCGGGTCAGTACAACAACATGATCTGGTTTTATCAAGAGAGTGAGGAAACACCGGATGCCAGCTTGGTTGAGGAAGATGTCAATGAAGATAAAGTAAGTTGAAAGACCTTGGAGGAGAATATATGGCTTTTTTAATATTTAATGTAAGTTGATGGGAATTAGAGTGTTGTTAAAGAAAAAAAAAAACATACAGACGGCTGTGAAAACAGATTTATACACACCACACACGCACACGTATAGATTTTTTTCTTAATTGTCTTTTCGATAACTTCAGTTACAGGAATGTTACGATACTGACTTCAGCGAAATAGAAAAATGCATTGTGGAAATCTTATAAGCAGTAATACCAAAAGTCAATTCGGTTTTTGAAAGCGTTCGATTCTTTTCTTCTTCCATCCATCACAGCCCCCGCCCTCGCCCCTGCTGCCTCAGCCGACGACGGACGCCTCCCGACGCAGCAGCACGGTCAGCGGACCTCCCGACCGCCAGGACTCGCGGAGGAACTCGACCGCCACGGACCAGACCGACGAAGGTGAGGTCATGTTGGGTCATACCATGTTGGGTCTTGTGGGGCCGGGGCTTCCTGAAGGAGTGATACTTTGAGGAATCATATATTGTCAGGATAAATGAAGCTCACTAATATTAAATTCTCAGAGATAAAACACTTTGCTCGCTCCTCTCCATGGCGTCCTCATTAAAGATAAAAAATAACTCATTAAGACATGCAACACATTAAACATAACAATAAAATAAAGTGATCAACCTAACCGAAATCTACAAAACGGACACTCCCTCCACCAAAACAAAAAAAAACGACACCCAATCACCAAAACACAAACACGCACTCCAAAAAAAAAAAAAATTCTCTAGGCTTTTCCTCTCCTCCCTCGGCACCATCTTAAGCATCCCTTTATCTCCCCGCCGACAGAGGCAGCCGAACCGGAGCCGTCTCGCCACATGCGGCTTTTCCTCGCCAAGCCGGGAACCACTCCTCTGACCGGCGTGTGCGTGTGTATGGTGAGGACGAACCCGCAGCGGTCGGTCACGGAGGAAAACGTACACAGGGTTAGTGTTGTGTTGATAATTGTCTTTCCTTGTTTTGCAGGGTTTGTTATATTTCTTTTATTTTTTGTCTTCGTCTTTTTTTTTTACTTGTTCTATATTATTAACTCCTTATTTATCGGAGTAATTGGGAATCCAGGTTTGTTGCCATTTTGTCCTTCTATGAGATTAGACTGCTACATAAATTAATGATTCTTATTTTCTTATACACGTTTTCTTTCCATTTTCTCTTCGAAGTTTCCAGAAAGTTTATTATGTAAGCCTGCTCTTATTGCGCATTTTTCTTCAAATGTTTTCTCTCCAAATTTTTTTTTGTTAGTTACGTGCTCTAATTCTGCATTTTTTCTTCAACTATTCTTCTAGATTTGTAATGATTTTAGACATTATATGATCTTCCACAATTTTCTTTTCATTCTTCCTGCAAAGCTAAAATGTCAAACAATTACAGAATCTCTTTCCATATTTTTTCTACAATTTCTTTCTCACCAAAAAAATCCAGAAAACGAATCAGATATATATAATAAGAAAAAAAATCTTCCGCAATACATTTCTTCTGCAAGGACAACATTTTCCACTATTTTCTCCTCCAAACCCCCAGGAGGTGAACTTTCTGCTGATCAAAACAGGCGACGACCCCGCCATCTTGCTTCGCTCGGTACAGAAGCTCCTGAGTAAGATCTTCGTGCCGGCGGTCAGGGTCAATCCGTCTGACCTCGACACCTCAGCCAGCGGGGTCAGTGCCAGGGACCACCTCCTGGCCGGGCTCAGGTCATTCGCTTCTTGTCTCCACGGTAAGAGAGGTCAAGGGATTTTGTCTATAGGTTTGGGTAATACAAGGGAAGTGGTTTTTGTTCGGAGGTTTTGATCCCCTTGGAGTGAAGTCCAGGTTTCCAATTAGAATATACCGGAATCAGTGTATTAGTCTCTTATATCCAAATAGAATACATGATAACTACAACATAGATATAGTCTGTTACATCCAGCATCCCTAAATAATATATAATTATAACATAAGCATCACCGATGTATTTGTGTCCTACCCCAGTATCCAAAAAGAATATCACATGATAACTACAACATAGATATATCTTGTTACATCCAGTATCTCAAAATAATATTATAACAGGAACATCACCGATGATTTTATGTGCTACCCCAGTATCCAAAAAATACGACATGACAACTGCAACATAGATACATTCTGTTACATACAGCATCCCAAAATAATATATAATTACAAAACATAACCGATGTATTTTTGTGCTACCCCAGTATCAAAAAAGAATATACCACATGATAACTACAACATAGAGATATTCTTTTTACATCTAGCATCCCAAAATAATATATAATCTTAACATTACATCACCGATGTATTTGTGTACCCAAAAAGAATATCCCACACACACCTAAAATTACAGTCGACGTATTTTTGTTTACCGGCCAGTGTCGAAATCCATCATGGCGGAAAGAGTGATTTTGGCGCCACCCGAGGAGAAGTTAGACGAGGTGCGCACTCTCTCGGACGCCCAGACGGTGCTCACTCAGCCCGACCAGGTGCAGGCCATCGAGAGGACGGTGCTCATGTGGCTCAAGCAGATAGGTAGTGGCTCTTTCTTTTGTAATTGGGGTCTTGGGTTTGCTTGGGGATGGGGGGGGGTTGATTGTTTGTGTGTGTGTTAGTCTGTAGGTTTTATTTTGGGGGTTTATTTGTGTATGTGCATGTTTGGGTGTGAATTTTGTTTGTTTGTGTGTGTGTTTGTTTGTGTGTTTGTGCTTGTCTGTGGTGTGCGTGTATGTGTGTTTACCTATACTTAGTATCTCGTAAGTATCTCTTAAGTGCACTTCAAAAGAAAACATCGTTCATTTCCTCATCATCCACCTGTAATTTCCCTTCTATGACAAAAATAACCTTGTCTCCTTCAAGAATCGGTCCTGATCGAGATGGAGCAGCTGCGGCAGGAGACAGACGACGCTGGCCCTCAGGACGAGCTGGAGTACTGGAAGCGAAGGATGGCCAAGTTCAAGTACCTGTCTGAGGAAATGGAAACGCCACAGGTATGGGTTCATTTGGTTTCAGAATTAAGAGAGTGAGTCTGTTGTGATATTTGTTAATATTTTCTTTATTTCTGTCTTTTCCCTTTTATTTTTATTTTCATTTTTCTCTTTCTTCTTTATTGTCTTCCTTATCTTTATCATCTTCATCCTCATCTTCACCTTCACCTTCATCATCTTCATCTTCATTCCCATTCTCTCTCATTCACCTAACCTCTTCTCCTGTAAAGATATCGACCATCATGTTTACGATATCGCGTCAAACCCACTTACCACATTATCTTAAGAAATCTAAATCATACCAAAACCCATACCTTCTCTACTACCAACAGGTACGAGGGTCCGTCCTGGTACTTCAGCTCGCGAGATCCAAAGTCCTGAAGGCTTGGAAGGAAACAGACGCCAGAGTGACCCAGAATTTGGCCGAAGCGAAGGACAACGTCAAGTTCGTCTACGCCATTGAAGAATACTGCCACCCGCTCTATCTGCACGACCCGGTGAGTTGTGAGGAATGGGAGGTTATTTTGTAGGTTGGGGATTGATATATGTCATTATTTCTTTTAATCAATATACCATTACTTCTTTTAAGCAATATGTCATTATTTCTTTTAAGCAATAGGCCATTATTTATTTTAGGCAATATGCTATTATTTGTTTTAATCGGTATGTCATTATTTCTTTTAATCAATATGCCATCATTTCTTTTAATCAGTATACCATTATTTATTTGAATCAATATGCCATTATTTCTTTTAATCAAAATGCCATTATTTCTTTTAATCAAGGTTGGGTTTAGCCTTGTGTGGCGGATTGATTAACATGTTAAGATATTAATTATACAAGTTGATTAAGAAGTAAAACTTTTCCTTCAGTCTAGTATGACGTATCTAGATTGCTTTCCCTTTGTTATTATCTAGATATCTAATTATAAACATGCTTTTCGCTCATAATTAGTCAAGATATCATAATTAAAACACATGCCATTTTATTAATGCATAACCAATATTTTAATCCACCTCTCTATCTCAACCTGATGCCAAACCCTACACACTTAAACAAATCAACCTGCATTGCCATCATTTAAAGGCAATTACTCTAATAACTATAACCATTAATCATAACAAACACTCTTCTCCTTAGCCTGGCATGACACCCTACATAATGATGCTCTTCAACACTGTCCGGATGATACACTCGATTTCAAGGTATTACAACACGTCCGAGAAACTGTCAGCTCTTTTGATTAAGGTGAGCGTTAATTAATTGTTTTTTCCAATGTGGATGCTCATTAAGGGGATGGTTGATTCAGGTGAGCGTTGATTAAGAGGGTTTTCTTCCCATTGTGGATGTTTATTAAGAGAATGGTTGATTAAGGTGTGTTAATTAAGAGGGCTATCTTCCCAACGTGGACGTTTATTAAGGGAATAGTTGATTAATGTGAGGGTTAATAAGGGTAAGTGGTAATGAAGGTGAATGTTAATCAAGGTGAACGTTGGTTAATGTGAGCGTCAATCAAAGTGAGCGTTGATTAAGGTGAGCGTTAATTAAGATAGGTGTTTATTGAGGTTAGAGTTTATTCAGATGAGTGTTTATTAAGATAATTGTCAATCAAAGTGGCTTTTATAGACTTCAATGATTGATATGAGGGCTTATCAACGTGAACGGTAATTAAGGAAAATTTCCCAAGGTGAACATTAATTAAGGTGAGCGTTACTCAAGTCGAGTGTTTGTTAAGTTGAAAGTTTATTCAGGTGAATCCTGATTGAAATGAGTGTTCATTAAGATGAGCGTTAATGATGGACATTAATTCATTTCACTGTTTATAAAGGATAGTATTAATTAACTAAGGTGACTATTAATTGTAAGTGAGCGTCAAAATCATTTTTAAACCGAATATTTATATACTTTATATAACTGTTAATAATTACAATAACTATAACAACAGTGAATAACCAACTAACGTAAATATTCTCATGACAGATCACGAACCAGATGATAAGGTCATGTCAGATCTACGTGTCATGTCAAGGCCTCGAGACAATCTGGTCCCAGCCGAGGAAAGACGTTCGGGAGAAGATCCAGCACTGTCTGAAACTCAGCTCCACTTATCGAAACGCTTACCAGAAGACTAAGGTAAAAACAAGGTGGTTTGTGGGTTTTAGAGCTGTTGTTACGGTTGTTTTGTTTTGTTTGTTTGTTTCTTGCTTATTTATTGGTTTGCTTGTTTGAAACTGTTTGTTTGTTTTTGCTTGTTTACATATTTGTTTTTTTTTACTATATTTGTTTGTTTGAAACTTGGCGCCACTTATCGAAATGCTTATCAGAAGACCAAGGTAAAAGCTTGATTTGTTTGTTTGTTTTTGCTTGTTTACGTATTTGTTTTTTTACTTTATTTGTTTGTTTGTTTGCAGCTTGGCTCCACTTATCGAAATACTTATCAGAAGATGAAGGTAAAAAAAAAACAGGTGGTTTGTGGGTTTTGGAGCTGTTGTTACGGTTATTTTGGTTTGTCTGTTTACATATTTGTTTTTGTTTACTTTGATTATCTGTTTATTCAAAACAACTTTCCGAAATGCTTATCAGAAGGGAAGATGGTTGAGAATTTTAGATCCTTGTTCGGTTGGTTGGTTTATTTGTTTTGTTTTGTTTGTTTGTTAGCTTATCTATTCATTTGTTGATTTGTTCGTTGTTTTGTTTTATTTGTTTGCTCGTTTGTTTACTTTATTTACTTTGTTATATCTTCGTTTTCGTATGAATATTGTTGCTAAACGTGCGATATAATGATAAATATATTTTAAGATTTTTGTTCATGAGTTGTTTTTAGTCGAACAGGGACAATTATACAAGAAAAAAAATAGAAAATTATATTTATAGTGATAAATGTTTTTAAAATTATTTGTCGTCTTTCTCGATTCAGAAATAACGCTTATGAAAACCATATGCAATAGACTCCTATAGAGATTAATATATCAACAGATTTATCAGCTACTTTCTTTTTTTTTCATCATTAACTTCTTTTTGTTATCGCTAAAAATAATATATCAAATAAAAAAACAAAAGGATTTAGAGTCTTGTTTTAAATGGATTCGAACACTTTGCAGGAGAAACTGGAATCCATCCCGGGCGAGAAACCGTTCAGCTTCAGTGAGCAATACGTCTTCGGCAAGTTTGAAGCGTTCTGTTGCCGCCTCACCAACATCTTGGGCCTTTTCGACGATATTGACAAGTTCTCTGCGTTCTTCGAGGGACGAGCTGAGTGTGAGATATATATATGTGGCTTATATGTATAGGGTTTTGGATAAATTGTGTTTGTGTGCAGAGACATTTGCACGGATACGGACACGGGGACAGAAGGAGGAAAGAACAATGTACACAAAAAATAGACAAAATCTTAGAGATTAGATATTTTATTATTATTACTACTATTATTCTCCCTTTTCCTCTTCTTTTTTCGTCCCTTCTCTTTCTCTTATATTATATACTTGAAGAAATACACACACACAAATACGCACATGCTTAAAAGACGGAAAACGCACACACCTAATAATAGAAAAAATGTACTATAATCTTAATATTTTTGAAGAATGTATCAGTGTCAGACGTAACGCACTTTTTCCATGTTGCAGATGATCAATAATCGTGGTTCAGTATGTTCTTTGCATGTTGCTTTTAGTTGAAGATGTTTAGAAATATTGATTTGTCCATATTTAACCCTCGATAAGGACAAGTAATGTAAATCACTTTTTTTCTTCCCCTTCTTTCTCTTCTCTCTCTCCTCATTCTCCTTCTTCATCGTCTTCTCCTCCCTCTTCTTGTTCTTGTTGTTGTTCTTCTTGTTCTCTTTATTGTATTTTCTTTTACTTCCCATTTCTTGTCTTCGCCTTTATGTTTCTTATTCTTTTTCTTCCTTATCCCTGTTTTATCTCTATATATTTTATTTTTATTGCTTCTTGATAGTTAAGTGCCAACATATTCACTGTTTTATTACAAATCTCAAGATAAACCTTTGCGGAATTTCTGGCAATAAAAAGATAAAGAAAATCTGTTCCTTTTCCTGAAAACAATTTCAGTATTTCTCTAAAACTATATACTATTTCCTTTTCCCTAAATTCATTCACAATTTCCTTCTCCCTAAAATCATAATATTTTGTCTTCCCTTAAACTATGTGTTATTTCCTTTTCTAAAAAAAAATATAGCTCATTTTCTTTCCCCTTAAACTATGTACTATATCCTTTTCCCTAAAACTATATACCATTTCCTTTTCCCTAAAATCATATACCATTTTCTTTTCCCTTAAACTATATGTTATTTCCTTTCCCAAAAAACTACATGCAATTAACTTTTCCAAGAAACTGTATACCATTTTTTTACCCAAAATACTAATTATCATTTTCTTTCCCCCAAAAGCTACATGCAATTTCCTTTTCCCTTAAACTATATACTATTTCCTTTTCTCTAAGACCATTTCCTTTCCCTACAATTGTATACTATATCCTCCAAGATACTAATTATCATTGTCTTTCCCCCAAAAGCTACATGCAATTTCCTTTTCCCTTAAACTATATACTATTTCCTTTTCTCTAAAACTATAAACCATTTCCCTTTCCCTAAAATTATACACTATATCCTTTTCCCCATAACTCTATGCCATTTCCTTTTCCATAAAACCATTTTCACATACTATCTATTTCCTAATATCTCTCTAAAAGCTCTTCTAAAAACCTTTCCTCAGCACCCAGGAAAGGGAAATAGAATCTGGAAAATTAAGAAACCCGCAAACACGTTTCAGCTTGCTTTTAAATTTCTAAAGATAATTGATAAATAAAATCAACCGCATCCTATCTTAAAAATGAATGACCTCTGCACTTGTTCGTTACTTTTCATTTCCTTTCGTCTTCTGTTGTATTGGTATATGTATTGTAAATAGTGTTATATGTATGTGTGTGTGTTATATTATGTATAGATAGATAGATCAATAGGTAGAGTGATTGATTGATTGATAGATATATAGATAGACAGACAGGTAGATAGCTAGAAATGTAGATTAATTGAACGTTTAAATAGTTAGATACATAATACACACATGTATATATATATACTATGTTTTAAAAGCACTACTATTTCTTCCAGTTTTATTTACTTCATAAATACTGAAATATCCACAATACTTCAGAATTTGCTCTTATATTAAATATAACTCACATATGTAATTTACAGAAATCTACAACACGAGTTTGATTTTTCGTGTATAAATCCTCGAGTTTTTCTTCATTAAACTAACAACTGTAACTGTAACTGTCTGAATTACAGTTCATTTATGTTTCAATTCCCATAATATTCATATTTGAATTTAACTCTTCTTTTTCTTATAATCTTTTATAATCTTTTGGGATTATCAAAATGTTGTTATCAGTTTATTATGTACTTTTTAGTCTAATGTCTTGATGTCATTTTGATCGTGATTATAGTGCCTAAATCAACAAATGAGAAGAGACTATTTAATTTACTGATGTGTTTCTTTAGATTTGATTTTTAATTTTCAATATTATTTTTTGCAGAGGTCTAATAAATCCATTGCCTATTTTTAGCTTCTCAGTAGTATTAATCATCTATCACTTTATACAGTAACTAATTAATTTCAAAAGAACATCAATAGTCAGTGCTAGTAATTAGATCCTAGAAACGTCCTACTGAAAGAGGCTAGTAATAGGCTACATTACGTGCTTGTCAGACTGATTATTTTTTTCTTTTATTTTTGGATATTATGCCGCATGTCACCGGATGGTCTTTCCCGACAGCCTTGCTTCCCATGGAGACCGGTAAGTGGAGAGAAATCGTAAAAAAAAATATCTGAATTTATTTATTTTTGTATTTTATCTCCCCTTTCCCCTTTTTTTATTCATCTGCTCTTCTGGATTTATATTATTCATTTTGTATTTTTTTCCCCCTTTCCCTTTTTTATTCGTTATCTGTATCAGCTGCTTCGAAAACAACTCGAGAAAACGAAGTGTTGCTTCACCCTTTTCTTCAAGTGTTCTCTTCGGGCACTCTGTGTTCTCACCTGGATGTTGTGTGGCGTTCTGTTCTTCACTGTAGATACGGCGTACATGGTGAAGAATTGGAAAAAAAATAAATAGTCGTTGAAATAGTTATTGAAATAGTTGTAAATAAGACGAGGAAGAAAAGAACAGGAAAACACACGAATATACCGAAGACCCTTTTCGTTATTTTACATCTTCAGGGACGCCCCGAAGAAGCAGTATAGCGAAAAAGCCTTCGGCATGTCCATATGTGTCCTTTTTTTCTTCTTCTTCTCCTTTTCCAGCATATCGTTTTATTTGCAAGGATATGCGATATATGTGTATATTTACATAGAGTAACTGCGTGTGAGTGCTTGTTTAAAAACTTGTAAATAGCAAACTAAATTCATTGCCATCAAATCGTAAATGTAGAAGAATGAGAAATTAATCATTATTCTTGTGAGTGATAATGACCATCGAGTGCAAAGGAGCCATATTGGCGATATTCGTATAAAAAGAGCTTTGCAAAAAGGCTTTGAGGACTTGCTGTATGTGGAGAATGACTTAGTGAATTTGTAAGTATTGCATGTATAGAAAGTAAGTTTTGTTGAATGGAAATATCAGTATATATTGCATCCGCTTAAAAGATGTATAGATACTGTTTGCTTGTATTGTAAATTCTTTGGTGATGAATGCAAATTAGTACATTGGTGGGAAAAATTATTAAAGAAAAATACTTTGATTTGCAAAGAATATGAAGGAAATAAAGAGCGCTAGGGTTATCATCCACAAAAAATCTACAATTCCCATTTGTAAGACCGTTTAATGCGGATTTTTCTTCTTTTTGGGCTACTTTTTAAAAAAAAAGGCGATTGCAGACAGCATGGGATGTAGTTCTGATGTAATGAACATACATTCTAAGTACGAGAATTAATAAAAAAAATGTTTTACGTCAAAGAATGGGAAGATGAAAATAACTTATTTTATTTTCCATACATATAGACAAGTATATAATATTAAAAGATACGATAGAATAAAAGAAATATATATATAAAAAATAAAAATCACGGAAGTACATAACCAGCATAAATTTTCACTACGAATAATGTCATTCACACAAAAAAATATTTTTCATTATATTATCCTATTTCTTTACCTACACTACAGCTATTTGCACTGCTGTACTGACTCGCACTCACTTGTTAATTACACACTGTAAATTTGATATTCTTGATATGAACAGATTTCAGATATTCTCTACAGATGTCGGCGTTCCTTGTCCCATATTTTTAAAGTATGTATATATAACTTGTTTTTATCCAGATTCTTTGCCAGGTTGTTTGCTAAAATAGGCATCGGTTGGGAGTTCGGGAAGGTCGACGATAAGCCCCAAAGGTCCACAAACAAACAAAACAAAGACAGCCCCAAAGGCCCACAAACAAACAAAGCCAACACAAAGCCAGCCCCGGTATTAAGAACTACTAAGTATACATGATGCCAATTTAGTTAAGAAACTTAGAGTCCAAGAAAATTGCGATTATGGAGCTTAATATATGGAGACAATGATTATTAGAAAGAGAGAAATTATTGTTTTCATTGTATGTTAAACTCTACATTACGAACCGCATTCATGTTGACAAATGTAGAAAGGTATGAATGAGAATGAATATCTCTTGCAGTGTGAAGATATTCTCATTCATACCTTTCTACACTCTACGTTACGGCTTAATACGTAGAGGTAGATACTGTGGCTAATTCTTCACCGCTTCGCTATAACGCTCATGGGTATCACAATACAGCCTGTGATCCCGTGCTTTAGAGGCCGTCTCGGAAATGCATGTCACCTAAAATAAAAATAAAAATAAACATAAAACCAATGCTAGAGAAATGCGGATTAGTAGGACAAGAGTAGAGAGAATAAAATTTTGGGAGATTGATATTTACGCTTTCCCTAAAACCCAACTAGAATAAACCACACTGTATAAGAAGAAAGAAAGAAATGAAAGAAAAATAAAGATGTTTTTGCGTCTCGTCCCAGGCCTTCGCGATATCTTGAAGTCGTGGCAGGAGATGTGTTCGGAGATCTCGCGAAAACCGTACGACTACTTGGACTACCGAGACCACCGCTTCGACAACGACCTGGAGGTGTTTGCGGCCAGCGTGAGGGAGCTCCTGCGAAGGATACACACGATGGTCGAGAAGGAACACGAGGAAATATGGGAGACGCCCATGGCCAATAAGATGCTCGCTAGGTAGATGTGGTTTGGAGAATCTACGTGTAAAAGAGGGGAAAATACCAAGATTATTTTCTTGTATATATTTCCATTATGTGTAAAAAAAAAAAAAAAAAAAAAAAAAAAGAAAGAAAGAAAGAAAAAAGCAGGTTGATTATTATTCCGTTTTCTGTAAAAAGTGGATCTGAGATATTACTCGGTTCATTATTTAATGTTAATTATTGCAGGTTTGAAAGAATAGCAGAAGTAGTTCCTAATCTGGACGTGGAAGGAAAGCTGAAGCGAATTTTGGCGCGTTTCCACCAAGAGCTCGAGAAAGTGACGCGGATGTACAACAAACAGTGCGAAAATCCCCCGCAACTCCGAGGCCTCCCACCTGTAGCAGGTAAATCAGTAAATCGCAATGTATACAAACTATTGCATTTTATCATCATCTTCTCCTTCACAATGTCATTATTATTCCTTATTCAATTACATGGTCCGTTTTGCCAGTAATCACCGAACGCGTCGCAAATAATTCCTCCCGTTATTCAGGAAAGATCCAGTGGGCACGGAGTTTGTTCCTCCACCTCGAGGAGCCCATGATGTTCTTCAAGGACCACCCGGTGCTCCTGAAGCTCCCCGAAGGCAAAGAGGCCGTCAGGAAGTACAACCGCATCGGCAGGACCCTCGTTCAGTACGAGCTCGCCTACTACGATGCGTGGAGGAAGCAGAGTGTAGGTTTCCGTTTTCTTTGACCGATGAAGGAAACGAGCTGATTTTAATTAAGGATTAATGTAAAAATATTGCGTCTAGATGATTTGGGTAGATTTATGTATCCTATTATTTTTCGCTGTATTTTCCATCACTAAAAATGTGTAATATCTAACAATGCAATTCCCAAACTACACGGTACAACATATACAACATATAGTACAGTATCACAATATACATAACTAGTAATAACAATATAAACAACATACGAATATACATAGGAGACTTTTATCCACACGAGTAAATAAGTAAAGAAAACCTCGTCCCACAGATCAGCGACATCCAGAAGTCTCTCCGATGCACTCTCGTGGTCCAGCGCCCAGACACCGAGGAACTCTACGTGAACTGGGACCCGAGAATCTCCACGCTGCTGCACGAGGCGACGAAGATCCAGCAGCTGGGTTTCGAGGTTCCTTATATGACTCAGCTGCTCTTAAACAGGGCTCCTCTCCTCCTGAAGAAGCGCGATATGGTGAAGGTAAGAAAGGTTGTAAGAAATTGAAATGACATTGAATGGTTTTTCATTTTCGGCGATCCTTCTCTCTCTCTCTCTCTCTCTCTCTCTCTCTCTCTCTCTCTCTCTCTCTCTCTCTCTCTCTCTCTCTCTCTCTCTCTCTCTCTCTCTCTCTCTCTCTCTCTCTCTCTCTCTCTCTCTCTCTCTTTCTCTCTCTCTCTCTCTCTCTCTCTCTCTCTCTCTCTCTCTCTCTCTCTCTCTCTCTCTCTCTCTCTCTCTCTCTCTCTCTCTCTCTCTCTCTCTCTCTCTCTCTCTCTCTCTAAAAACATCGGTAGGAAAGCTGACGACCTGAAGTAAATTAATAAATTAAATGACATTGAACGGTATTTCATTTTCGGTGTTTTTTGTTGTTTTGTTTTTGTTTTTTGTTTTTTGTTGAATATTTGTCCTACTTGAAATTTGATCAGTAGGAAGGCTGACAATTTGGTTGCTTCATTGCCTTACAGAGAGTTAAATCCTTCTACTCTAAAAATATTCCATCCTACTCAGTTCAACAAAATCCCTTTCTCCTTTAGAATGCTGCAGTAATAAACATCAAATATCCCTTACAACAAACAAATACCATTTCTCCCTTACAGCACCTTCTGGACGAACATGAGCGTGTGCTGTCGAAAGTGAACCCGACGGTGGCTCCTTTGCTGGTTCCTCACGTCACGAAGCTGAAAGAAGCACTCGATCCCCTTCTCACGTCGCTCACTTGGTCGTCTATACAAGCTCATAGTTTCTTTGATCAGGGATTTGCGGCGATACATACCTTTCAGATACTTATTGACAGGTGAAAGATGGGATTGAGTACTTTGTGGTGTTCATTAGTACCTTATAGACAGGTATGCGGAAAGATGGTATTGGCAGGTAAACGATTAGGTAGTGTTGATATGTTTGGATTATTGCTAGATACTGATTAGATGGTGTTGAATATTTTGGATGGAAAATAAGTTAGTTTGATTTAATGAAAGGGAAAGGATTAAATCACACTAAGTATTTTCGATGGTCATACTACTAACATTATTAAAAATAATCTTCGTTGTGAAAATCATTTGAATAATTCCAGTAAAAGTCGTGACCAGTTAAGTAATAATGGTCAAGATAATGTTGAAAATGATTATGTACATGATATCGACATACAATATTACTCTACTGCAATTATTCAGCATTAAATTCTTACCTGCATGAGACAAATCCATCTTTGTCTGCTTCATAGTGATTGTAGAATTCATCTTTATCTTCATGAATTTCTGCCTGATTAATGTCAGTGTTATATGTTCTACAAAATATTTTCGAGCTCAACTAACGGTCAGACATTCAATTATTTCACCTTTACTGATTAGGCATTTCCATCTTCTCCTTCTTCTTCTTCCTCTTCTTCTTCTTCATTTTTTCTTCTTCTTCTTTTTCTCCTCCTCCTCCTCCTCCTCCTCTTCTCTCCTCCTCCTTCCTCCTCCTCCTCCTCCTCCTCCTCCTCCTCTTCCTCCTCCTCCTCCTCCTCCTCTCTTCCCCTTTCTTTCCTCCTCCTCCTCCTCCTCCTCCCTCCCCTCCTCTTCTCCTCCTCCTCCTCTTCTTCCTCCTCCTCATATTCCTCCTCTCCTCTTCCTCCCCTTCTCTTCCCTCCTCCTCTTCCTCTTCTCCACCTCATCTTCCTCCTGCTCCTCCTTTTCCTCTTCCTCCTCCTCCTCTCCTCCTCCTCCTCCTCCTCCTCCTCCTCTCCTCTTCTCTCCTCCACCTCCGTCCTTTCTACTGCTACTACTACTACTAATAATAATAATAATAATGATAGTCGTAAGAATTCTTCTCCTTCTCCTTCTCCTTCTCCTTATTTTTATTCTTCTTATTTCTTTCCTTTTTTAATGTTCGAACTACCTGTATTTTACTATTACCCAAACTACCTTTCATAAAACCACGCATTATATCAGCTCCGTGCTTAAAATCCCGCAGTTATTTAAAATCCTACTGACATCCACCCTCAATTTCCTCTCCGCCTTAAGGGTGAATGACATCCTCCAGCACCGAATGGAGGGTGTGCTGGCAGCCATGACCGGGGTACGTCTTTACATCCTGCCAGACACGAGTCCCTGGACCCTAGATCTCTTCGTCCATAACACTTGGCTCACCTGTTGTCAAGCCGCCCAGGTACAGTGTGTTTGCTGTTTGGGGATTCGTTTTGCTGTTATTGTTGTTGTTTGGTTTTGTTTATCTTTTTTTAAAGTGCATGTTGTGTTCTTGGAAGTTTTTTTTTATTTTGTTATATGGGGAATAGTCGGATCCGAGATCCATGTGATGGGATTATGTAAATGTGGCGTCGCGACCGTAGATTTTTGTCTGCTATTTTTCGAAGTGCACGTTTTCTTCTTCCCTTAAAAGTAGATTCTTCAGTGTGTCTTAGATGTACTGTACTTTTCACCGCTATTGATAACCAATAGATTTAATGGATTCTAGACACAATGAAGTATACTACGCGAAAGAAATTTCTGATCATTATATCAGTGACGTTACAATACCAATTAAGGCATGAAGATTATGTGTTTTTGCCATCCCCCATTTATTTTCCTCATATAAGTATTATCCTTATAACATCCTGTGTTAATATCAATCATCAAAACAATTTTTTATACGTGAGGATTCCGATCTCTTCTACGAACCTGGAAATAACAGAGCAGACCCTCTCCGTAGATAGCGCTGCATTGGACAGGATATTTGGGTACGGTGGGAGGTATCGTGGCGGTCACATGTGCGCGCTGCTCTTGTTATCCTTGGCTCTCGGTAGCTAAGGAATGCGTTTGTAAGTACAGTGCACGGGTACGGTTTTGGGTACAGCTGTCATCATCAGTCACTGCGGTTGGCCCCTATAGCTGTCATGTCATGTGAGGGTTTTAAGCCACTGAATTCGATGAATAGATGGACTTATAAAGATATTATTTAACGGTGAGGATTGGGATGAAAGAAGGAGAGGAAGTGAGAAATACGTAAATGTAATGGAAATATGGCCTTAGAAATATGTCTTCATATAGTAAACAAACACTAAGACTGTTGTCTGTAAACCATTGAAAGTATTAGAAATGTTACGCAGTGATTCATGTATATCGCAGAACCTTATAGTGTGTGGTATTTTGACACAGAGGGAAGAGAGTGAGAATGAAGGGGAGAGATAGAGAGAGAGAGTCAGAGACAAACACACAAACAAACAGACACATAGACGGACATTAAACAGACACACAAACAAAGACAGAACGATAGATCCTTAAAACTAAATGAATAGAAAGCTTGATTAACAGTATCAACTGCCCTATTTTCCCAGGAACTGAACAGCCGGAGCAGAGTGGTCGAAGATGCTGTCCTGGAGTTGATCGACCTCGTCCTGATGGGGGTCGAGAGCGGGCCTGAAGGTCAACACACGTTCCTCACCATCGATGACCTAGATGATGCTGGTGACCTTGACGATTCGCGATCAGGTATGTAGTACCTTAAGGAAACGTATTTCAACAAAGAGAGGCGTGAAAATAACTACGGTAAAAATGCAGTCAGACATTCTTTTTTTCTGTCCATCTTCCATTTTTGTCCTTTTTTTCTTCAAGTACACGATATGTTAAGCAGCCTCCTCCTTAGGTGTGGTATGGAAAGCCATACCACACCCAAATTCCTAAAAAAATAATATATATATATATATAAATACCCCTACGTCACGCTATCACGCCCATCATCATCATTAAATCCCAGTAAATGCCACATGCTCTAGATTTACACATAAAAAAATGAAAAAATAAAATCGACCATTCCACCAGTGTCGTCTGCGGGAGGGTCATCGCGCCGAAGTCCCGTCCCGATGGCAGAAGGAGGCTTTTCGTCCGTCCTCGAGCTGCCCACGAGACCCCTCACGCCCCGGGAGAAGGCGGCGCGGAAGAAGAAGGAAACCCGGGAAAAAGTAAGGGGTTTCTGTGTCTGTCTGTCTGTTTTTTTATCTAATTATCTATCTATTTATCAGTCTGTCTGTTTTTGTTTCTTTGTCTATCTGTTTGCCTGTCTGTCTGTCACTGAGATGCCAGAGAGAGAGAGAAGAGAGAGAGATTAATAAAGAGAGAAATTACTCTCACCTTTTCTCTTCTTTCCTCAACTAAATAACTAAATGATTACCAGAAAGAGAGAGAGAGAGAGAGAGAGAGAGAGAGAGAGAGAGAGAGAGAGAGAGAGAGAGAGAGAGAGAGAGAGAGAGAGAGAGAGAGAGAGAGAAGAGAAAGAAAGAAAGAAAAGATAAACGAATAAATAGATGGCTCTCTGGGAGGGCACAGGATATAGGGTCCTTAATAACGGTCTGCCAGCAATCGCTTAGAGTGGCAGGACGTGATTTGTAGACTGTCACTGAGGCGGTTCTTTGATCTGCTCGACTGAGGGGGGCTTCTGTCGTCAGATACTAAGGCTTACTTTTGCTTATCCCGGGTTTAGGTTGATAGATTTGGGAGGTAGGGAGATTAGGAGGGAGGGAGGAGAGATTAGGAGATGAGGGAGATTAGGAGCTAAATAAATAGATATACAGACATAGCTAGGTTGGTAGGTAGGTAGGTAGGTGGATATGTAGATAGATAGATAGGAGGGCAGATAAAGAGACAAGCTTAGATGTAAGTAGATAGACAGACAAATAGACAGATAGATAGATAGGGAGAAATATAAACAGCTTGACTGATTAATAAGTACACAAGTTGATAGACAGACAGACATATGGATGGACATGCAGGCAGACAGATAGAAAGATAGCTAAATAAATGAGTAGATATGTAGATAGATAGATGGATGGATAGATAGAAATAGAGTAGTAAAGTAGATAGATATATAGACGTATATATAGACGGATATAGATATATAATTAGATAGATAGGTAGAGAGAGAGAGAGAGAGAGAGAGAGAGAGAGAGAGAGAGAGAGAGAGAGAGAGAGAGAGAGAGAGAGAGAGAGAGAGAGAGAGAACGTTATTATTTCTGTTAAACATAAAGCAACTCTCTATCTAACAATAAACAAAAACAAAAGTACTCTTCACTAATAACATCAACACCACACATACACCCAAACATCAACACCACACACATACCCAAACAATCTCAAACGCACACACGTTCCTCCTCATACGAATCCACGGAAAAGAAACGTCTCATTTTCCCTCACGCGCGCCAGGTGGAAGCCGCGGCGAGGGACCTCCGCAAGACCTACCATCGGCGCGTGCTGGACGTTCTGGTAAAGTCCGTTCGTGGGGCGCTGGACTCCATTCGAAAGCATACGAGTGTGTCAGGCAACCGGTCGCAGGGTAAGGAGGGTTATGCAATGAATGAGTCGGGATCTGATGTGTTGTAGATTGCGTGTGTGTGTGTGTGTGTTTAAAGAATATAGGCCTAGTGCACTTCATTACAGTTCATGTAATATTAAGTTCAGTACAGACATTCCAAACAACACATGAAAAGTTCTAAAAATAACACAAATTACAAAGGATCATCTAGCTATCATAAATCTTCACCTTTAATAACATTCATCATCAACGTGTGTGTGTGTGTTTGTAGTTAAATACATACATGTGCACATAGATGGGGATGTATATAAGTTGATTGTTCGTAATTGTTTCTTGTCTTATTTTTTGTTCGTGCACGTGTTTTCATGCATGTTATGCTGACGTGTAAAGTGGGTAACATCAAAGCTCGAATATCAACATTGAGTAAGTGTTGACATCAACACTGTATGCACTATAAACACCATTAAGATCATTATCACCAATAAACACCTTTAACGCCACAAAAACAATTATCACCATTATCACCATAAACACATTTAACACTTAATACCAATAAACACAACACCATTATTACCATAAGTATCATTAACACCATAAACACATTTAACACTATTAATACCAATAAACACAATAAACACCATTATTACCATAAGTACCACAAACACCATTACCGCCATAACCCCCACCGACGCCACCAATGACCCCCCAACCCGCACCCAACGCAGGCGAAATGAGCAGCCGCGGACACGCCGCAGGTGAGCTGGAATCCGGCCTGAGCGTCCCCCTGGTGGAGCTGAGCGCGTCCTTGGTGTCCCCGGGTGTCCAGGTGTCCCCGAGCCTCGAGGAAGTGCAGGAAACCATTAATAAGGTGGCCAAAATCATCCTCTCGACGGCCAAAGGAGTCTCGCAGTGGGTCCGCTGTCGCAAGGAGGATGTGAGTACTCAGGCTACTCACGCGTCGTGTTGAGAGGGTGTGAGGGTCTGGGGTGGTGTGGAAGTGTGTACGTTTGTGTGTGTGGGGAGGGGGGTGCTGGGTATAAGTGTGTACGTGTGTGTGTTGGAGGGGAGCGGGGGTAAGCGTGTACGTGTGTGTGTGTGTGGGGGGGGGGGGAGTATAAGGGTGTGTGTGTGTTTGTGCATGTGTGTATGTGTGTGATTGTGGGATTAATATACATCTAACTGTCTGTATATTTCACATGTGTTTATACAATTCCCCTTTCACCGAAAAAAATACAGAAAACTCTAAATATACATCTATTCAGATCTCCCTGCCAATATGTAAAAAAAAAACATTCCTCCATTCTACAATAACAAAAACACCAAACAACCATAACACCAAACAACCACAAACACCAAACAATTGCAAACAATAACAAAATATAATCGAACCAGGCCGGAGAACCACAGCGCCCCGAACTGACTCCCTCCGCGCGCCGCCGGGCCTGGAGGAACCGCAGTGACGTCATGGAAGTCCCGGCGATGTCCAAGAACTACTACACGCACGTCCTCGAGAGCAAAGATGTCTCGAAGGTCATGAGTCACATGGCCAATTCGTTCCAGGCGACGAAGAACGTAAGTGGGGTTGTTTGTCTGTTTGTTTTTTGTTTGTTTGTTTGTTTTTTGGTGTGGTGGGGTATGTTTTGTGTATTTTTTTTTGTGTTGGTTGGTTTGTTTCTTTGTTTGTCTTTTGTCGAAAGTCATAAGTTTTTGTTTTTATGTTGTTTTGGTGTGGTGGGGTATGTTTGGTGTATTTATTTTTTGTGTGTTGGTTGGTCGGTTTCTTCGTTTGTCTTTTGTTTAAGTTATTTTTAGTTTACTCTAAAGTTTAGTTGTTTGCGTTTGTCTGTTTGTTTTGTTTCGGTGAGGTATGTTTTGTGTATTCGATATATATTTTTTTTCTTTTGATTGTTAGTTTCTTTTGTGTATTCGATATATATTGTTTTTCTTTATGATTGGTTTGTTTGTTTAACTATAAGTTGCTTATAGTTAAATTTAGGTGTTTGTTTTTTTGTTTCGTTTGTTTTTCGTTTGGCTGTTGTTTGATTGTTTTCTTTGTTTTTTGTTTGACTGATAATAGATTTGTCTTTTTATGAGGTATGTCTTGTGTTTTCGTTTTGTTTGTTTGCTTGTTTTTGTTATATTACGTGTTGATTTATCGATGTTTGTATATACTTTAGTTTGTTTTTGTTTTGGTGTGTTCTTTTGTGATTTTTTCATTTGTTTGTTTGTTTGTTAATTTCTTTATTTGTCTGTTTTATTGTTTACTTATCGATGTATCTGTATACTTATTTATACGCGTTGTTAGTCTATTCATCCATTAATTCATCTTTATTTCTATTGGTTTTGGTCCTTTTATTTACTAATTCATTCATTTATGTTTATTTATTCTCTTAGTTTTCAGTTTATGTATTTGTGTATTTCCTTAGTAATTGCTTGTTTGTTCCTTTCTATCAGCTTTTACTATTTACTTTATCTATTTATGTCATTCATTTGTCTATCTCTTTACTCTGTATTTATTGATATTTGTATTCATTCATTCTTATTAGAGTAGGAATTTATTTAGTTTTACTTGAAATAGCAACAGTAGTAATGGTGGTGGTAATAATAATAATACAGCTGCTATTACATCTACCACTACTACCATTTCTACTACCTCTACCACCATTACTATAAAAGCAACAACCCCTTATCCCTCTCTCTCACTCTCCAGGAGGTCCACCACACTTTCGCCGCGTGGGACCGATATCACCATCTGTGGCGGACGGAAAAGGAGCAGGCCATCCGGGACTTTACGAGCCACTCCCCCTCGCTGCAGGATTACGATAGGAAACTCACAAGCTTCGTGAACTTGGATAAGCAGATACGACGGGAGCCTTCGCGGTATCGGGTGGGGGCGCTGGCTATTAGTACGGGTGAGTTTGTTTGTTTGTTTTTTACGTTTTTTTCCTTCTTTTCTTTTCTTTTTTATTAGGGAGTGGAGGTTCTGTTAGATTTTTAAAAAATCATTATTATCATTGTTGTTTTTGTATCAGCATTGTTATTGTTAGTAGAAGTAGTAGTATAATTCCTCACTATTCTCGTGCTTTGTGTCTCGTTTTTTCATCATAGTCTTCTCTTTTTCATATCCTTTTCATCATCATCTGATTACCATCATTATACCTACCATTATTATTATTTTTTTTTTTTTTTAGCTTTCTCTCTTCGCTGCCTTCACCGAGTCCTTTTGTTTATATCTTTATTAATACTATTACATTAAAGTTGATATTTTCCCGTTCTTGAGATTTAATACCATTTCCCCTGGATTGAGTCTCATTATAGATACAGCTAGTCCTGTTATCTAAAATCTCTTCAAAGTTGGTCCGATATCCGAGTGCAGGCAGGGGACATGTCCGCAGAGGAACACGCATACTGATCCGGAATGCTACGATGAGGTCCCGACTTTGACCCAAGCAACTAATGCCAGTACTCAGCTGATTTGGCTGAGAGGGGCAGGGATTGAGATTTTAAAGCCTACATTCCACCACTTAAATAACTAAATAAAACAAATAAGAAAAAATATATCAATAAGTACACACATAAACAAATAAAAACCTCCCTAAACCTCCAACCCCTCGTCTCCCTCCGCCAGACAACCTCAAGAGCGCCCTCGTGAAGGAAACCTCCCTCTGGGTCGACAAGTACGGCGAGGCCCTCAAGACCACCTACATGAAGGAGATGGAGCGCCTCTTCGCCCAGCTGAACGAGCTCTCCCGACGCCTCGAACGCCCTCTCAAGGACCTCGACGACATCAAGAGCGCCATTGACATCCTCAGGAAGACTCGGGACTTGGAACTGGATATGGATGATGCTATTGATCCGATCGAGGTGAGGTTGGATGAGGGATGCCGAAAGGGGGGGGGAAGGTTATTCTTTGTTGTGTGATTTTTTTTGTTTTGTCTCTCTTTCTGTTTTGTCTTTCTCTTGATCTCTTTCTCTCTTTCTCTTTCTCTCTCTCTCTCTCTTTCTCTCTCTCTCTCTCTCTCTCTCTCTCTCATCTCTTCTCTTCTCTATCTATATATCTAATCTATCTATCTATCTATCTCAAAATAATCGGACATTGTTTAAATAATCGAACAATACCTTTTTTATCAGGAGTCCTTCGGCTTGCTGGTGAAGTACGAGCTCGGACTGACCCAAGAAGAGGCCGAGAGAGTCGACAACTTACGCTTCACTTGGCAAAAGGTTCTCGCACAGGCTGTCGAAGTCCAGAACCTGCTGTCACGCGTCCAGCCTTACTTTAGGTCAGACATCTGCTCGTATTTTAGATCTTTCTAATAACAAATGTAAATAGATTAATAGATAGATATATAGATACAGAGAGAAAGAAATCCGTTTTGAAAATTTGTTATAGAAGGGAATTTCGTGTCAAGATAAAGAACTAAGATTGAATCAGACAGATAAAGGAATACAGATACAGAATTAATTAAATCCGTTTTGAAAATCTCTTCATTATAGACGGCAAGTTTTGTGACAAAGAACTAAAATTATAAATATATTTTTTTCATCTTCATTGCAGGAACGAACTCATCCACAACGTTGCACAATTCAAGAAAGATTGCAACAAGTTCGTCCACGACTATCGAGCTCAGGGGCCGATGGTGCCTGGACTGGACCCACGTGATGCTTCTGACAGGCTCATTATTGCCCAGGTAATAATCACCCATTTTGGGGCTTTAGGAAATAATGATGGAAGGCAGTAATGGAGGCATGGATTTTGTACAGATTGCGCTCGATGTTCATTCCTAATACCCATTCAAAGAGCATGATTCAATGCCAGTGAACATAATATGGACATCATATTCCCATTCTAAATGATACCCTATACCTTCTCCAACGATCTCACTAAATCCCACGTAACGCATTCCTGACAGAACCGCTTCGATACCCTGTGGCGAAAACACTCCAGCTATTCCGTGGGCGAGGAGCTGTTCCGTCTTCCCCGTTCGGAGTTCCCCGAGCTGGGACAGATCCGCAAGGAACTCAACCTCCTCCAGAAGCTCTATAAACTCTATAATGACGTCATCGATCGCGTGAGCTCTTATTATGACATCCCTTGGGGCGAAGTCAACATCGAGGATATCAATAATGAATTAATGGAGTTCCAAAACAGGTGTGTGTTTTGTAGAAATTACTTTCACGACAGAAACAGACTTGTCCTGTTCTAGCAGTTCCCATACATATATAAAGTTGTTCTAGACTTTACCAATATTTTGTTGCCACACAAATTATCAACATCAGATTTTGAAAATAGAAGCACATTCAATGAGAAAATTAAAATAAGACTAGATTTCCACGAGGCACTCATCAGAAATTTTCCTCTCTCCACAGATGCCGAAAGCTCCCGAAGGGCCTGAAGGAATGGCCGGCCTTCAACACCCTCAAGAAGACCATCGACGACTTCAACGACATGTGTCCTCTCCTCGAACTCATGTCCAACAAGGCCATGAAGCCGCGTCATTGGCAGCGCATCGCGGAGGTCATCAGCAGGCCGCTGGAGGTGGACAGCGACAACTTCTGCCTCAGGAACATCATGGACACCCCCTTGCTGCAGTTCAAGGAGGACATCGAGGTGAATATCCTCGGTTTTCGAAGTAGTAGGCTGATGCATGATTGTTCTTGTTTAGGGAGATGTAAAATCATTGCGATTAAACATCTGTCTTCTTAATATATTTTTTATGGGAATTTCATTTATCTATATTATGAATCAACTCTGTACTAAAGGAAAATTAATACGCCATTTTTTTAATACGACAGTTTCTTTTCAAGGAATCATTCTAATTCGCACACTTTCCAGGACATCTGCATATCAGCCGTGAAAGAGAAGGACATCGAAGCCAAGCTGAGGATCGTGACCAACGAGTGGGCCGGACACGACCTCACTTTCTCGACCTTCAAGAACCGAGGGGAGCTCCTGTTGCGCGGGGACACGACGGCCGAGGTCATCACGCAGCTGGAGGACTCGCTCATGGTCCTTGGCTCTCTGCTCTCGAACAGGTAACGTAACTATATGCGCTTTTCTGACCCGTATGTTTTTTATCGTTTCAGATGTAGTAGTATGTAATGGCTCTGGTCTTCTGTGTTAGTTTTTAGCCATGTACAAGTGCTTACTAATTAGTACAGGTACAGGCTAATTTTTAACAACTATGTTTTTTTTTATTTGGTATCTAGCTCGTTGTAAAGCTTTTCGTCGATTTTCATTATTCTAAATAACAATAACCAGCCAGTTATTATGTTCAGTATGTCATATAGCTTGTTATGCTCAGTTGATCGCCATGGAGGTGTTTCTACGAAGGAAAATCATTATAGAAGTGAACAACAGTATTATTTATATTTCCTTATTTTATATTTTCTTTTTTGGGATGTCTCCTTATTCCAACTCCCTTTAGATACTCAGCCTTTCTATAAAAAAAAAAAAAACATACCATAACAGATGCTTTAATTCACATCACATCAAACCATTCCCTTCCGTGATAATCGTACATTACATTTACAATGAACTTCGAACAGGTACAACGCCCCATTCCGAAAGCAGATCCAGAAGTGGGTGAGCGATCTGTCCAACACCAACGAGATCCTTGAGAGGTGGCTCTTCGTCCAGAATCTGTGGGTGTATCTCGAGGCTGTGTTTGTGGGCGGAGACATTGCCAAACAACTGCCAAAGGAAGCCAAGAGGTGAGCTAACAATCGCCAAAGGAAAACAAACGATGAACAAACACTGGCTTAAGAAACCAATACGTTGGCTATCAATCGTCAAAGGAGAGCAAACATTGAATAAATACGTATGAAATAATAAGCTAACAATTGCCTAAAGATATCAAAACGTGAGATAATAACCAATGGTTAGGTTTTAATTGCAGGTTGTGAAATACTGATCTACAAAATAAAATCTATATAGACATTTGTTATATAAAAACATGGTTGATACAGATGCTACATACAGTATATCTTAAACCGTTAATTTTACATTTTCCCTTTCAAGATTTTATGTGATTGACAAGAACTGGCAAAAAATTATGGCACGAGCACATGACAACCCCAACGTAGTGACATGCTGCGTGGGAGATGACATGCTGAAGCAACTGTTGCCATATCTGCAAGACCAGCTGGAGGTTTGCCAGAAGAGCCTCTCAGGGTAAGGATTATGACAGCAATGATATTAGGGTTGGGTTTTATGTTAGTAAATATGGTGCTGATAATGGTAAAAGTGATAATGAAGCTGATAGTAATGTTATTACTGTGATAACGATACTAATGGTGGTGATAATAGTGATAATGATGATAGTGCCAGTGATAATAGTAGTCAATTAAATTATAAACATACTGTACATACACATTCATTCCTTTCTAAGAACATTAACAAGAAATTCCCACTTCATTCATCCGTTCAGATACCTCGAGAAAAAACGGTTGATGTTCCCGCGCTTCTTCTTCGTCTCGGACCCGGCGCTGCTCGAGATCCTCGGCCAGGCTTCGGACTCGCACACCATCCAGGCTCACCTCCTCTCCATCTTCGACAACACCAAGACCGTCCGTTTCCATGACCAGGATTACGACCGAATAGTTGCTATTTCGTCGTCGGAGGGAGAGGTTGTGCAGGTGAGGAGGAGGGAGAGAGGGTTGGGCAGGTGAGGAGGAGGGAGGGGAGGTCGTGCAGGTGAGGAGGGAAAGGAGATTGTACAGGTGAAGAGGGAAGGGAGGTTGTGCAGGTGAGGAGGAGGGAAGGGAAGTTGGGCAGGTGACGAGGGGTGAGGGGAGGTTGGGCAGGTGAGGAAGGAAGAGAGGTTGTATTGGTGAGGGTATTGTGTAGGTGAGGGAGAGGTTATATTGAAATGGGAGAGATTGCACTGATAAGGGAGAAGTTATGCAGGAAAAGGGCAAGCTGAAAAGCTGATTTAGAGAAGATGCGGAGATATGGCCATATCAAGAGACGTGCGTGCTTGCTGGTTGTGTGTTATGTAGATTTGTGTGTGCGTTCGTTTGTGTGGATATCTGTTTTGGTTTCATTGTTAGACCATGCGTGTCCATTTATATCTCTTCATCTGTTTATTGTCCATTACTCGATTACCACCCGAACGAAGCACAGTTTTGACATAAGGGCTGTACAAAGAAGTCAAATGAAAAACAATAAATAAAACACAGCCGATATATACAAATTACATCACACCAACTTTCGACACTGCATTATATTCTTAATATTCTTGTCGACTCACCACCAGCTCGAGAAGTCAGTCCGCGCCGAAGGGAGTGTGGAACTATGGCTTATGAAATTACTCCAGATGTCCCAGCAGTCTGTCCACGGGATCATCAGGCAAGCTCATCACGTGATACAGGACCCGGATCTAAACGTCCTACGCTTTCTGGAGCAATTTCCAGCTCAGGTAAAAGATTTCACTTTTTAATGGCTTATTTTCCTCGTCGAATTTCCTGAGGTAAAAGTCAGTAGCCCTTAACACTTTCCTGAACAATTTACAGTTTAGGTAGAGTATTTAGCTAATTAATGATGATACAAGTAGAGTTTGTGATATTTATCTTAATGTTCAGTTTCATTTGTCGAATTTCCTAAACTATGTCCAGATAATAATAACGATAATGAAAAAAAGCAGTTTCCAGGATAAAAAAAAAAAAAAAATTCATTCTAATGATTAAACCCCTTTTCGTCGAAATTCTCCCAAAGAAATTCCTGCGCTAACCTGACCTCTCGCTCGCTTCAGGTCGGAATCCTGGGCCTTCAGATGATCTGGACACGTGACTCGGAAATGGCCCTGACGCAGGCCCGAGCCGACCGCCGAGTCATGCCGGAGATGAACAACCGTTTCCTCGACCTGCTCAACCTGCTCATTAACCAGACGACGCGCGACCTGGAACCTGTGCAGAGGACGAAATACGAGACCCTCATCACCATCCACATCCACCAGAGGGACATCTTCGATAGTATGGTGAGGGGGTGGGGGGTGAGGGGTTTCTGTCTTCTTTTCTTCTTCATGTACGTCTTCTTTCCTCCTTTTCTTCTTTCTTATCCCTCGTTTCCGTCTTTTCTTCTTTCTTTTTCCTCATTTATCTTCTTCCTTTCCTCATTTTCCTTTTCCTTTTTTTCCTTTTTCTCCTTTTTCTTCGTCTTTCCTCCATTTTTCTTTCATTTTTCCTCCTTTTCTTCATCTTTTCTCCTTTTCTTCTTCCTCTTTCATCCTTCCTTCATTTTTTGTATTTTTCTTTGTTTTCTTCTTTCCTCCTTTTCTTTTCTTCTTGTATGAGGCTGGGTGGATGAGTGACGAGGCTTTTCATCTTCTCCTTTCTTTTCTTTTCGTATTTTGATGTGGGTGATCGAGGAGAAAGTTGTCTTCTCCCTCTTCTTCTTTTTCTCCTTCTTCTCCTCTTCCTCTTCCTCTTCTTTTCCTTATGTTTATTTTCTTTCCTTTCCTCCCTTTTTCTTCTTTTCTTCATGTATGAGAATAAGTGAGGAGAGATTTTTTCTTCCTCATCTTCTGCTCCTCATCTGCTTCTGCTTCTGCTTTTTCTTCTTCTTCTTCTTCTTCTCCTTCTCATTTCCTTCCACCTTTCTCTTCTTCTCCTCCTCATCCTACTTCTGTTTCTTCTTTTTCTTCTTTTTTGTCTTACTAATCTTATTCCTATTACCATTATTCCTCTTCTGTTTCTTCTTTCTCATCTTGTCATTATTCTTATTCATCGTGCATGGGTGCGTGAGAATTTTTTTCTTCTCTTTCTTCTTACTCCCTTTCACATTTTCTCCTTCTTGATATTGCTATCCCTGTTCTTATTTTTATTTCTTATTTCTTTCTTAATGTTTGTCTTTATTTTATTTGGAGTATTGATAAAAGAACGGTGTAATCTGAACGAAAATGTTTCAAAATTATTTTTTACTAATCATTTATTAATCCATTATTAAACTATCATCTATTACACTGCTCTATTACTTTATTATATTGATTAAGTAGAAACGCCCTTCCATCTCATAGTCCTTTATTGAATCCAGTCCTTAGACACACCCTCCCTCTATTAGCGATTCATTAAATTCATTGATTAGACACATCCTCCCTACTTTACTATCTCATTAATTGTAGTTATTAGACACTCTTCCCATAGTAATTAATTAATTCCAGTTATTAATAAGTAACACATTAACTGCATAATGCATATATTTAACTCACTCTTCCTCAATAATTCAATAACTAGTCGTTATACATACCCTCCCTGTTGCAGTGTCGAAACAACGTGCGTTCTGTGATGGACTTTGATTGGCTGCGTCAGAGTCGCGTGTATTTCAGGGAGGATGTCGATAAAACGAACATTGTCCTCACTGACGTCACTTTCCTCTATCAAAACGAGTTCGTGGGTTGTACGGAGCGACTCGTTATCACACCTCTGACAGACAGGTGTGTGATATGTTATTAAGATTTCAAAATAAGTGTTGGTTTGTTGATAGCTTGCCGTTTTATATATTGTATCCCTGTGGTTGATGACGAATATTATTAAAGGTGAAGATTTGTGATAGCTAGATGATCCTTTGTAATTTGTGTTATTTTTTATATTTTTTTGTGTTATTTGGTATGTGTGTACTGAAATTAGTATTATATGTACTGACATGAAGTGCACTAGGCACACACACACACACACACACACACACACACACACACACACACACACACACACACACACACACACCATATACAACATACACACATACACACACACACACACACACACATACACACATACACACACACACACACACACACACACACACACACACACACACACACACACACACACACACACACACACACACACACACACACACACACACACACACACACACACACACGCACGCACGCACGCACACGGAGATATAAATAAATAGATAGATAGATGCTAAAATAAATATAGTTATTGATAGATATATCAGGAAAAGAGCATACAAAAGCAATGTTTCTTGACCTCTTTCACCCTGTAGGTGCTACATCACGCTGGCCCAGGCGCTGAGCATGAGCATGGGCGCGTGCCCCACGGGGCCGGCAGGAACGGGCAAGACGGAGACAACCAAGGACATGGGGAAGACTCTTGGCAAGTATGTGGTCGTCTTCAACTGCTCGGATCAGATGGACTACCGCGGCCTTGGAAGAATTTATAAAGGTAAGATGGCTGGATACTTCCTTTTTCTCTTGTTGCAAAGTATTTTTTTCTATAGAGAGTATGTTTTTGCTGACTCGATTCGCTCTCATGATGTATTGCTTTTCGTTAATGAGCCATCATTATCAAAATAGCGGTTTTCACTCCTTACTAAAACACCTTATTAATATATGCTTTCTTCCTAACGTCGTCTATTCCTCAAAATTGCACTCACCCTTAGTATAGTACACACCCCAAACCTTTCACTAATCTTCCATTCTCTTTCTAAATTCCCTTCACAACCCTTCACAAATGATCTGCCATTTTCTTCCTAAACTCCCCTCACCCTCACCACACCCTCGCCACAGTGTATACCCCCAACCCTTCACAAATGACCCATCAACTAACATACAGACACTCCATAGGCCTAGCACAGTCGGGGTCATGGGGCTGCTTCGACGAGTTCAACCGCATCGCCCTGCCCGTCCTTTCCGTGGCCGCCCAGCAGATCGCCGTCGTCCACGCCTGCAAGAAAGAGCGTCGGAAAAACTTCACTTTCACGGATGGTGACACTATCAACATGAACCCTGAATTCGGCATTTTCCTCACCATGGTACGTAGACGGTTGTTAAGCTAGTTCTGGTGCGTATTGGTGTCCGCTCGTTCATTATTGGTATTCTTTATGGTGTGTGATTATTTTTTTCATATTTTTCTGATGGGGAATGATAACTTTAGTAGTATTTATTATGATGGTTAAAGATTACAGTTTATAGGCCTAAAGGTATTATATAACCATATTTCCCCCATGCATCATATCTTCAAAATTCATTAAGTGCTTTTAAATACCGATTATCGTTAGATCATTCTGTAAGTTGCTTATTTCTTATTCAGCTCTGACATTTATTTAATTGTCCATGTATGAAAAATTGATATTGCTGGGTGTCATTGATTTCGTGGTGCCATTGATAATAGTTTCTAATTACTATGCAGTTCATATGAATGTGAAGGGTATATGAAAATTTACTCTCAGTTGATGATTAGATGTATTAGTACTAAGGAAGGTGAGTGCATTGAGTACATTTAGACATTATATGAATGATTGAGAGACATTTTAATTGAACAGAAGAGTAACATTTGCATTTGGTGTTAAAATTTGCCCAGTATCAAGGAATACAAAACTGGAAATTTTATCTGGACTAAATTTCTCCGATTTGTCAAATCTCTTTTCATTTTAATCAGCTGGCACGCAGTATGTGTGGTCTGCAGGTTTAAAACTAATATATGATTTTCTTGGTAAATGAAATGTGCTGTCGTCAAATACTTTATTTTTTTCACAAAAAGACGTAGTACCCTAAAGGGAGAGTTATTATGTTATTCTTGCCAGGGATTGGTCGGAGAATAGGCAGGATACTAAACTTCATATCCGTGTAAATTTATGTAGGTTTTGGTATAAATCACATATATTTTTTGTCGAATATGATTAGCAGTCTAAAATATTTTACCTCTTTGTTTTCAGTTATATCTTGTGCTAATATACCTTGATATTTTCAGATAATTTTAGTAGGATTAATAAATATCACAATATAACCCTGTTTTTCTTTTCTGTTGTCTGTGGCCTTCCAGCTGATGGTGTTTTATGGTAACAGTGGTTTCGTTTTAACTGTGGTGCTTCTGCCTCTGAAGGCTTTTAAATGCGTTGCTCAGTTTAAAAATGCTTCATCAGACCCCTGCCAGAATAAATGCTTCACTGGAAGCCTTAAAAAGAATCTCTCATTGATATGAAATATATCAGTGATCCATGATTATGGATTTTAGACACATTTATTCTGACGCTAAGACAAGCAGAAGCTGATATGAGCAATCCATTCGAGGATTCAACTTAATGTTTGGCAAACGATGGCACAAACACAGCGAAGTACATGCACGAAAGCGAGCAATTTACACACACACACACACACACACGCACAGTTTCTACATACATATGAATAACAGACATCATCGTCAGCACCCATTTTTTCATACGGCCCGCCCTTGCGACTCAGCTTAGTTCACCTATATTTATGTAACATTACTTGATTCTGGATGGATTGCTGATATTTAAACGATAACGCTTATCGCCGATGGTCACCTGAGGATTGAGTGAATCCTCGGAGAACTGGTGATTGGCGTCACGCTATAAAGTCACCCTTTCATGATTTACAAAGACATGTTAACCTTGGAGTCTGTGGCAACATGTGCTTTGTTTAGTTGAATTAAAGGTAGCAATTTATACTCAGAGAAACGGTGTATTAGGCTTGGTAGCAGGAATTACTACATGTTCCTTGTAATATATTTAAAATGTTACTGTATGTTTGACGCACAATTTATAGACTTGTATGGTAATTGAGTAGTTTTGTTGTGTGTTTTGGACAGATTCATTTAATGAATTATTATCACGGAAATGCTTGTAGATAATTAGCTTAGACTGTCTACAGATCTAAGTGTTCAATATATATACACATGTCGAAATGAAAGGCCAAACCAAGTCTATGAATTGTCAGTAATGAAATTATTTCGTCTTAACCGAGGTACGAATGGCCCTGTATGGCTTAATGGTAGAGGTTCCCAAACTTCACATAATAGACTGGCCCTGTTTTCCTCATTTAACATTTAGAAACGATTTCCTTTATAAATATGTTTATTATATTTCAGAGAAGTATCGAAGTACGCTCTGTATTTCGATTTCTTTTTATTATTAATCAAAGAAATGCATTGCAGTTTCTCTCGCTCATCTCGAACGAGACTGAACAACCAGTTTAGTTTTAAGATCACGTTAGTAGATTCCGAGGATAAACATAAGCGATATAATTCTACTTAGATTTTTTTCTCAGTCCAGTTACTTACTTGTTTGGGAGCCTTTACTTTTACGGCACATGTAAATACGTGTAGAAAAATAATTCAAACGTAAATGTGACTTGTACTGATATCTTAAACTTTGTACATATTTTTTTTCTTTTCTTTTCTTTTTTTGGAATGCTGTATTAACAGTAATATCTACAGACATTTAGAGTTATGATAAAGATATTGATTAATCATATAACCTTTGTTGTCAGACCATAAACGTTATGCAGTCACAATACCTCAAATGCTTTATTTTTGCCGCTGTTACTGCAGTCTTAGATATTTTGAAAAATTACAATTCTAAAGAACTATAAGAGAAAAAAGACATTTTTTCCAAGACACTTCAGTAGCTGTTCTATCGATGTGTCTCTTTCAGGATTAGTATGAAATTATATTCCAAACTCTGTACTGAATGGAACGCTTAGTTATGTTTCCTTTTTTTCTTATTTAATTTGAACAGAATATAAGGACCGATAAACAGGTAATTTCCCCGCACCCATGATTTTTTTTCCCGACATGTTAAGCTTTCTTTCACTCCTTACAAAATCACTTCACATATTCCTCTTTTTCTGCATTATTTAATTGTTAATTTATAATGGTACATTTCTTATGATGATCTGTTAAAAATTAAAAAAGTTTAAACTAATTGGAAATTATGATGAAATATGTTGTCACTTTTTTGTATGTTCATTGACTGTGTTTCTTTTGTGAAACAGAAAAAACGCACTGAAGAATATAAGGTAATATATTTACTAGTGATAAAGTGTATACACATTTTTTTTCTCTCGCTGTCATTTTGCATCAATTATTCCCGGGGTTTATGTGGATTTTGTACGTCTGGAGGGTGAGGTGTGTGTGTGTGTGTGTGTGTGTGTGTGTGTGTGTGTGTGTGTGTGTGTGTGTGTGTGTGCATGTGGTGCGTGTGTGTGTGTGTGTGTGCTTGTGTGTATATGCACATTACTTTTCCTTCTCTCCATTATAATCTGAATTCTTTGCTTATCAATACCTTCGTTTTTGAATAATTACTTGATCCACAACATTCGACACGACAGCTTTGAACTTTACTCACATGTTCATAAAAGAAAATCCATTCACCAGTGTCACATATATCACCATACATTCTTTAGCATACATTCTTATTTTCCCTATCTTAAATACACGAATATATTTTGAACATCAATCCACCCGCATTGAACACCATGAAATGAACTACTTTTTAGACACAAGGTTTATAAGCGTATATTTTTAAACAAAGTGTATTTTTATTAGTAGTGCACTAACCCTATTGTATATATTACGGAGAAACGGTTGTAGATACATTATTTTTACAGTAGTTTTTTTTACTGAATGTTGCTTACAGATGGATCAGAACAGACAGATTGGCTTCTCTATACACCTGTATTATACACAGTTGTGGAGCAAATAATGTATACTCCAGTGCATGTTTACCTCTGGTTTTTTTTTTAGATATACCAGGACTTTTTTTACCTGAACGAACGATTTTTTGATTCCAGGAAGATTTTTTGAAACAACGATTTTTTTTTTAATGGGAGAACCATTCCCAAAGGAAAATATATATTTTTTTTACAGAAGGTGTTTCACTTACGAAGAGACTAATGCATGCTGTATGTAGAAAGATCTTAGTGTTATTAGAATGCAATCTCATTATTCCCTCCCTTAAAACCACCACCGTGCTATTACGAAACAACGACCTCCCACCTCGGCACGACCCTCTCTCGCTCCCGCAACGTGTCTTCGGATTCTTCGCCACCGCCTTCGTCTGCGCCTGCATCCTCGTCTTCGCCTTCGCCATTGTCTTCGTCATCGTCTTCGTTTTCATCTACGTCCTCGCCTTGCCCTCGTCCTCGTCTGCGTCTCCAGAACCTGGGCTATCACGGCAGACAAGAACTCCCGGAGAACCTGAAGATCCAGTTCCGAAACGTGGCCATGATGGTGCCCGACCGACAGATCATCATCAGGGTGAAGCTCGCGTCCTGTGGCTTCCTGGAGAACATCACCCTCGCGAGAAAGTTCTTCACGTTATACAAGCTGTGCGAGGAACAGCTGACGAAGCAGGTCAGGTTCTTTGTTTGTTTGCTTGTTTTGTTTTAGTTTGGGTATAGCTTTGGTGGAGAGGGTGTGAGTGGTTTAAGTTGGATAAGATACATTGGGATTTGATGGGTCAGTCTGGAAGATTATAAGATATCCATTTAAAGATTCAGTGGATTCATAGGTAAATTTAGAAAATGGACGAAAAAAATAATACATAGATAGTGAAACAGTGCGAAACGGAAGACGATAAACATATAAATCGAGAGAGAGAGAGAGAGAGAATCAAAAGATATAATTATACAGATAGACAAAGAATACGAAAGAGAGAGAAAAAAAAAGAAAACATAAAAGAGAAAGAGATAAAAGCATACCTCCCCGCCACATAAATGAACTATTCAGACAGACAAGGAAAACAAGAAAGAGAGAGAAAAGAAAAGACAAAAAAGAAAAAAAAAGAAAAAAACATACCTCCCCGCCACATAAGCATTCCACCCCCTCAGGTCCACTACGACTTCGGCCTGAGGAACATCCTGTCCGTCCTCCGCACTCTAGGGGCCGCGAAGAGAGCCAATGCCAAGGACTCCGAATCCACCATCGTCATGAGGGTTCTCAGAGATATGAATTTGTCCAAACTGGTTGGTAAGTTTCTTTTGTTTCTGATCTGCTGTTTGTTTGATCATTTGAAGAAAATAGAAAGGAAATAAAGTGATAATACATGAGTTTTGAATTATATATGATAATGTTGTCATCCGTATCAGTTCTACCACCAATAGACGCGAATTGAAGAAAAAGAAAATATAGTTTGATTTATATTAAGTAAAACAAAGTTTCCTATCGACGAGTGTTCTATTGGAACATAACGACATTTATGATGATTATGCTGCAGTTTTTCTTTGCTAAATCTTGCAGACGAAGATGAGCCTCTGTTTATGTCGCTCATCGATGACCTGTTCCCGAGCATGACGCAGGAGAAAGGTTATTACAACCAGCTCACAACCACCATCGCGGACCTCGTCAGTGAGCTCGGCTTGGTGAATCATCCGCCATGGCAGCTCAAGCTCGTTCAGGTAGATTGAGTTGTTTTGTTTTTTCCCTTATATTTGATGTATTGTTTTATGTGCAAATATGGTACACCCATGTCTGTATATCTTCCGTACGTGTGTGTTTGTGTGTTCGCGCGCGTGCACGCGCGTCCGTTCTTTCGTCCGTGAGAGCTTAAGTAACCAACTAACCAATCAACCATACAAGTGTATATACGCGCGTGGAATTAACAAACATAAACAGTTTCAACCTCAACCCCAAACCAACAAGCAAAGCCTCCCCCACCCCCACCTCCACTCATCCTCTAACACGCCCCCCCCCTCACCATCCCCTAACGCGGCCTACCTCGCAGCTCTACGAGACGCAGCGAGTCCGACACGGCATGATGACCCTGGGTCCGAGCGGCGCCGGGAAGACCTCCTGTATCCACGTCCTCATGCGCGCCCTCACCAAGATGGGCCAGCCGCACAGGTCCGATGCACGCACGTGGTTCTCTGTTGTTTTTTCCCACGCACGTACTTCTCTATACGGGTTCTTTTCCGACGCACGTATTTTATGATGATCTCTCTTTCTCTCTTTCTCTCTTTCTCTCTTTCTCTCTTTCTCTCTTTCTCTCTTTCTTCTCTTTCTCTCTTTCTCTCTTTCTCTCTTTCTCTCTCTTTCTCTCTTTCTCTCTTTCTCTCTCTCTCTCTCTCTCTCTCTCTCTCTCTCTCTCTTCTCTCTCTTTCTCTCTTTCTCTCTTTCTCTCTTTCTCTCTTTCTCTTTCTCTCTCTCTCTCTCTCTCTCTCTCTCTCTCTCTCTCTCTCTCTCTCTCTCTCTCTCTCTCTCTCTCTCTCTCTCTCTCTCTCCGACGCACCTTCTCATGTTTTTTTTTTCTCCGATGCACGCACTTTTCTTCGCCACAATCATATGGACAATAACATTAACAACGATCCTAATAATAATAATAACAACAATAACAGTAATAAAAATAATGCCGATGACCCTTCGTGCATGCGCAGAGAGCTGCGGATGAACCCAAAGGCGATCACGTCAGCGCAGATGTTCGGGCGACTGGACGTGGCGACGAACGACTGGACGGATGGCATCTTCTCGACCCTCTGGAGGAAGACCCTCAAGGCCAAGAAAGGTAGGAGGCACTGCCCTGCGCTCGAGGATGAGTTGCGTGCGTGTTTGGTTGATGTCACGGACGAGGTCGGCAAGTGGAAATAACGCAGCTCTCATTAACTGTGAATTCCGTCATATAAAGCGTGATAAATACTATAGGTTTAAACTCAGAAATCCTCCAAATGGGAACTGACATAAATACCCTTTTATTTCAATCACTCCAACGAGACCAAGTAAATCCTTCAAAAGGAAGCAAATTCTTCATTTCAGAACTAACAACCCTCCTACATATCAGAATTTTAAAAAAATACCAAACACGAAACACAACCGTGTCAAAAAATAAATAAATCAATAAATAAAATAAATAAATCAATAAAAATAAACAAACCCCAATCAGACTTCGAAACCAGGTCCTCCACCCACACCCACCAAACCCGCCATTCCAGGAGAGCACATCTGGCTGGTCCTCGATGGCCCCGTCGACGCCATCTGGATCGAGAACCTGAATTCCGTCCTCGATGACAACAAGACCCTGACCCTGGCTAACGGCGACCGGATCCCGATGTCCCCGTGCTGCAAGGTCATCTTCGAGCCGGCGAACATCGACAACGCGTCCCCGTCGACGGTGTCCAGAAATGGCATGGTGGGTGGCGGGGTCTCTTTGCTTATCTCCTGTATTCCGCCTTTTCTTCTTAAACAATGTTCACTGAACGTAACTCATCTTTTCTTTGCTTATTTCCTGTATTCCTCTTTTTCTTCTTAACAGTGTTCACTTTATATAAATCATATTTTCTTTGCTTATTTCCTGTATTCTTCTTTTTCTTCTTAAACAATGATCGCTTTACATAACTCACCTTTTCTTTGATTATTCCCCGTATTCCTCATTTTTCTCAGACAATGTTCACTATACAATTCATCTTTTCTTTGCTTATTGCCTGTATTCCTCTTTTTTCTTCGTAAACAATGTTCACTGTATATAACTCGCCTATCATGAAAATCTAGGGTCTTGTAATTCACTGCCATTATAAGCTAGATGAATTATGATTCGCTGTATATGACAGGATGACTTATGATTTAATATTATCCGAGGAGTCACTATAACTCAGAAGACCCACACTTTACTTTATAGGACTCATTTGTTACTACAACACGAGTGACCCATGATCCATTATAACCTGGACGACTCGTAATTTTCTATAATTCGCTATAAGCTGAACGAATGGGTAATCTATTACAGACTCTAAACTAATTCCCGCTCTCCTTTTTTCGATCACATTTTCATTTAGTTTCGGCTTTCTTTCCCATTCAGGTCTACATGAGTTCCTCCGGCTTGGACTGGGAGCCGCTTCTTCAGGCTTGGCTCCGCACGCGCCCCCACCACGAGCATTCAGTCATCACAGACCTGTTCTCTAACAACTTCCTCAAAATATTCACTTGGGCCAAACAGAACCTCCAGCTGTGTCTGCCTGTTCTTCAAGTGAACGTTATCTCGCAGGTAATGGGACTTTTCCTTTGTGTTCAAGTGTAATTTCTGTGATTTTTTTCTTTCATGTGTTCAAGGCCAAATATAAGGATCCGGGCTTCGGTGCAGGTTAGTAAATTATTGAGTGCTAATATTCTACTTCATTTTTGTACATTTTTACGATATATTTTCTGTATCAGTGTTTATTGTTCAGTAGATTTTTCTCATAAGATGTTTTGGTGTCATTTACAGTATGGTATCCATGCTTTTCTGTCATTTTTTTAGCCCGCTTAACAAATATATATATGTGCACAAATATCAAATATAGAGTATATATGCCTTTATGGTCATTGTTTTATAATATAAACATATTCACTTGATTTTCACTTCTCGATTTCTTGCCTACTGTAGCTTCCATACCTACAGTTATTTTAACTAATATCTTCACTGTATTCTCAAATGTTGCCTCCAAGCCACATTTGCAGTAGCTTAGAACCAATCTTGACCTCTAATCATGTGCATGAGGAGGTCCCTTTTTTGTCCACGAAGATAAGAGTTCCAGACCCCCTGCCTCGTGTTGGGATGAAAGAAGCAGTTGTCAGAGTCCCTGTGGTTATCCCGAGTGCTAACAGGTTTGTTGGGAATGCATTACTGTTCATCCTGTCAAAAAATGTATTACCCGTTGTCACTGCTGCTGCTGTCAGGCCTTAAGTCTCTTGGAGGGCCAACTCCCCGACGTGGAAGACCTGCTGGACGACCCCATCCTCCGCCGCCGCCGCCGCAGTCGCCGCCGCTCCTCCGCCTGGGCTAGAAACACAGGCATGGAGACCCCAGAGGACTCTTCCAATAGCTTCTCTCCCATAGAGACTCCTCGGTCGCCTTTCTTCGACGACGAATCCCAATCGGTGCTCCTCGGTCGGCTAAGTGCCTGCCCTTCGCTCGCCCTTGTTCTATGCCAGGCGTCGCACAGCCTCACCTCCTAACCAGCAACCCGAAAAGAGCGTGAAGACCCAAATGTCTGTATTATAATTATCAGCATCATCATGTCATGCAAATCTAATGTCAACATATATACTTGTGGATATTCTTATCAATTTGCGAACGAGATAGATGTGATTTTGTATTTCTGCCTGTCAGAACTTTGGGTCTTGGCGTTGCTACAATAATCGTGAAATAACTTCTTTGCTACCTTAAAAACGTAATCATTAATTCATACTTTACTCTAAATCCATTATCAATAGTTGGTGGATGAAGAAAAGGCATGTTAACTGTAATGGAACTGTTGCATCTTTTGATTTCCCAATAAATTTATCAGTTCCATGGTAACCTACTATTTAACAACTAACTAACGATCCTATTGTTATAAATAAACATTTCTCTGCATCATAAGAAAAGTTAAATCATGTCCCTAAAACCCTTACACGAGAGTGTCTGTCCGCACGTTGCTCTAAGTGTATAGTATTAGCAGGCTGAAGAGTTAAATGGCGAAGGTGAATGGCCGTCATATAGTAAAGAAATGAATTTACATTTCAGATAAACAGGAAAACAAACGCATGTCCTTTATTCCTTAGATTTAGGTAGGATTCGTTCCTGAAGATATGTGGACTTAGGGAGAAGGATTGAGTTTATACTTGATCGGTAGTTTTTAATTAGGTAGAGTTTAAACTTTGTTGTCGGCACACAACACGTCTGATGTATGTATGCATGTCTAACGTGATGCTTTAAACAGTTATAAAAGTGAAATATAGAGCTGTGTAATAATGGGTGTTTCGCTCTGTAGAGACAATAATTGGCAAATTAATTCAAAGTTATGCAAAAAAAAAAAAAAAAGCTGCTTCAGACATATAAACATTTCAAGCATATCATAAGTTTTGTTCCTTCAAAATGTCGCTCACTTGTCATGTTTGGAACCGGCTTTTTGTGTAGTGAGCATGATCGTGTATGTCCTGCTTCTGTTTATCCATAAAAAGATAAAGAAAGGAAACTGAAATATTGCCAACATGTCGTTATTATAAAGAACGTCACCACACTCCTATTTACTTTCCCTTGCTAACCGTTTTGACTTTCTTGTTGGTGAAGACGACGCGGGTGTTGGAGGGTCTCCTGCCCGACGAGGAACAGGCGCAGAGCCACCACCGTCGAGATCCAGATTCCGAGGCCGAGGAAATTCAGGTAGGCTCATGGATTGTGATATTTTACACTGATTTGTCTCGCTGCTTGTCTGTCGTTAGGTGTCCGGGTCTTGGATCACAATGTGTTGGTGAGATCTTTCTTCATGATTAAGTTATTCACTTGCTATCCGAATTAGTATGTCTAGGTGACCAAGTTGATGGTGTAGTCGGATATTAGTTTCATTATCGGTTTCTTTGTGAAGAAAACAATGATAAACGAAATATACAAATATTTATAATGACGAAATGCGTTCAAGGTATCTATAATTATCTGTTTTAATTTCCTTGATTTACTTATTTATTCATTTTCATTCTTATTAACTACACAGACTGAACAAGCTCCCATTGAGGAGCACATCCAACGGCTGTTTGTGTTCTCAATAATGTGGAGCATTGGAGCATTTATGGAGTTGCCGGATCGTGCAAAACTTGAGCAATATATTCGCAAGGAGCATCAGACTCTGGACCTACCGGAGGGGAGAAGCCCTTCGGATTCTATATTTAACTACAGAGTTGATGACAACGGCAAGTGTTGTTTGGGGACATGCGTACATGAGATCACTCTCTTAGGAGAGAAATTATTTAATTTCTGACTCTCTTTCTCCATCTCTTTTTTTTTCCCTTCTTTCTCTCTTTTCATCATACTCACTCACCTCCTTCACTTGTTTCTTACACTGTTCCTGCCATGATGTAATTGATCTATTTAATTATTTCATAATTTTTTCATGAATATCAGTTGCCTGAAATGTAATTTTGTCTTCATACTCCTTTTTTCTGGTTTTCAATTGCAACCATAGTGTATGTAAACCCCGATTTTCATTTTCATTCACAAAATTATTTTGCAATGGCGCTGGCTAAGAAGTTATAAGGATGACTGGATTATATGATTTCAAGGTGTTATAAGGAGACTCACTCTCTCTCTCTCTCTCTCTCTCTCTCTCTCTCTCTCTCTCTCTCTCTCTCTCTCTCTCTCTCTCTCTCTCTCTCTCTCTCTCTCTCTCTCTCTCTCTCGTTATATATATGTGTGTGTATATAGACTGATAAGTAGATAGAAAGATAGATATAAATATCTGTGTATTTCTTCATATCCCTCTTTATTTTTTCTTCTTTTCTCTTCTAAGTTGTTTTTTATTTCCCTCTTTCTTTTTCCTTCTCTCATCTAAGTTGTTTTCCTTCATTCACAGGCTGGTGGCAGCACTGGGATACTCGGGTCAGTGAGTACGTCTACCCGGACACAGGCACTCCCGACTACACTTCGATTCTCGTGCCCAATGTCGACAATGTTCGGATGGACTTCCTCATACACGTCGTGGCTCAACAAGGAAAGGTTAGATGTGGGAATACGTACCGGTGTTTTATATTGTGTGTTTAGAGATTGTGTGACCATCTTTTTTTTCAGGGAATACGTGTCTATTATGTTTGTTTTTTGTATTTTATTCGGTTCGTGATTTATTCTCTGTGTAGAAGTATTTTTCTCTTTATATGTAATTGTTTGAATAATATTGATTCGGACTCTGAAGTGATAAAGAAATTGAGTGAAATATTATTAAATTTCTAGTATCATATTCAAGATAAATATAATTTCAGGTTAAAAAGTTCAACGGTGGCACTGATATTTCTGTAGAATACGTTACTACTTTCTTATTGTTCGTTTTTATTGTTCACCACCACCATTCACCACCACCATTCACCACCAACCACCACCCTCACCGTCAGCATTCACAGCCACCAACCACCAATCACCACCAACCACCACCCTCACTGCCACAATTTACAACCATCAACCACCACCCTCCACCACCCACCATCACCACTTCACCATCACCACCATCACCACACCATCACCACCCTCACCATCACCACCGACCACCACCATCACCACCATCACCACCAACACCATCACCATCACCACCACCCTACACCACCCTCACCATCACCACTATCACCACCGCCCTCACCACCATCACTCACCACCACCACCACCATCACACCATCACCACCACTCGATCTTCCTCTCCAGGGCGTGTTAGTGATCGGCGAGCCAGGGTCAGCCAAGACCGTCACCTTGAACGCCTTCATGAAGAAATACAACCCCGAGGACCACCTCTGCCGCAACTTCAACTTCTCCTCGGCCTCCACGCCCCTCTATTTCCAGGCGAGTGTTGGGGAGGGGGGAAGGGGTGCGTTGTGTGTGCGTGTGCGTGCGTGTGTGTGTGTGTGCGTGTGTGTGTGTGTGTGTGTGTGTGTGTGTGTGTGTGTGTGTGTGTGTGTGTGTGTGTGTGTGTGTGTGTGTGTGTGTGTGTGTTTGAAACTAGGTAATGTTTTGTTAACTTGGGCGTGCATTTAGTACGCAAAATTTGTTACCAGAAATATGTATATTTTTGCATATACAAAAAGTGTGAATGGAAAAGCAATGCAAAGTGTGAACGTGTTGATATTACAGCTCTATCACGGGAAGAGATGATAACGAAACATTAATCAACGTATCTAGAATTGAGGAATTATTCTTTCTTATGCAGACTCATTTCAACATTTGCCTTTCCGTTCTTTGACATCTAGTATATATCTCTCGCCTTCTCACTCTACTTTCTTACTGTTATACATCAACTTCTCAGCATTCTATTGACATTTTCTACTCCACTCAACAACTCCACTACTCCTTACTTTATGTCTTACCATTATTTTTTTCCTTATTATTACATTCCATTACAGAGGACGATCGAAAGCTACATAGACAAGAGAATGGGAAGCACCTACGGGCCCCCAGCTGGCAAGAAGATGACAGTCTTGATAGATGATCTGAACATGCCTCACATCAACAGCTGGGGCGACCAGGTGAGCAATGTAGATAGATTGATATATAGAAGGGATAGAGTAGGTAGATAGATAGATAGATAGATAGAAAGATATAGATAGATAGATAGATAAGTAGGTAGATAGATAGATAGATAGATAGATAGATAGATAGATAGATAGATAGATAGATAGATAGATGGATGGATGGATGGATGGATGGATAGATCGATAGATAGATCGATAGATAGATAGATAGATAGATAGATGGATAGATAAATAGGTAGATAGGTAGGTAGATAGACAGGGAATTATAGGTAGGCAGACAAATAGATATGGCAAGAATGTTTCGATTGATGAAATGAACATGCCTTATATCAACGGGTGAGGAGACCAGGTGAGTAATGTAGATAGACTGATCTATAGAAGGAAGGATGGATGGATAGATAGATAGAAAGATAGCAAGACAGACAAGGAATTATAGGTAGACAGACATACATGCATGCATACTACATACATACATACAGATATGGATGTATAGATATTTGGATAGACTTTTGAATATAGATAGATAGATAGCTGGAACGATTTATGGATGGATGGATGAACTGATAGACAGGTAAATATAGATATATAAATAGATCGACAGATAGATACATACATACATGCATAGACCTAGATTTATAGATAGATAATTAGATATAGATAGATAGTTCATTTCAACAGGAAGGTAATTAGAGATAGATAATCGGATAGATAGATAGATATAGGTATATAACAAATATTCGTTAAAATTATCTCTATTCGTCCATGTGAGTTTCATGTATGCCACTGTGACCCTTTTGCGTGGTTTACTAGAAAAAATCGCAAACAAAATGATTTTGCTGTATATCACTATAATGTATGAGCCTCAAAAAGCAACACCTTTCGATGATTGAAAAGGGATGCCGAAATATTAGGCCTAAATTCAACATCTTCCCCTGGCTGTAGACCAACTCTTCCCGATATCAAATTTCATGGTGTCAGTTTCATAGATGAGAGTATGTCACAGTCGTATAAAAAGAAGAGTGTGTTGATAATGTTGAAGTGTATTTCTGATAACGTCTGTTTTGGTGATGCATAAACGTAGGCCTATGTGCGTAATTACCTTTCCTGTATATTTTAGGCCTTTTATTTATTTCCGGTTCTGTATCTTTACACGGTTCTGTATCTTTACCACATATTTTTTTTATTATTATCTGGTTCTGTATCTTTACCACTATTATCTGGTTCTGTATCTTTACCACATATTTTTATTATTATTATCTGATTCTGTATCTTTACCACATATTTTTATTATTATATTATCTGGTTCTGTATCTTTACCACATATTTTTATTATCATTATCTGGGTCTCTATCTTTACCACATATTTCTATTATTATTATCTTCTTGAATCGGAACTCCAGGAAAACGAAAGATCGAAAAACGAGTCTAAACAAACTCAAAACGAAATACTAAATTTCCTTTATACGGACGTGTTCCAGCCTTGAGAAACCTTGAGTCTACTTCTTATAACCTCTGTTTAAATGTATAGATGTAGGCCTACGTGCGTAAGTATCCTCCCAATATAATTCACGTTTTTTTCATCCGTTTTAGTATATTTACCACATTATTTTCTAAGTATCCTCTTCTTGGATCGGTACTCCAATGAAATCGAAAAATGGAAAACCAAGTCTAAACAAAATCGAAAAACAAATCTACACAAAATCGAAAAACAAATCTAAACAAAATCGAAAAACAAATCTAAACAAAATCGACAAGCAAATCTAAACAAAATTGGAAAACAAGTCTAAACAAAATCTAAAAAAAAATTCACTTTCCTTTGTTTACGTGTTTCAGCCCACCAATGAGATCGTGCGCCAGACCATGGAGATGGGCGGGTTTTACAGCCTTGAGAAACCGGGTGATTTTATTCACATTGTGGACTTGCAGTTTTTGGCAGCTATGGGGCACCCAGGTAAGGTTTCATTTTGTTTCGTTTTTTCTCTATTTCTGTTCTAACTTTCTTTTTTTAATTTTATCTTCAGTTTCTTCGTATTCTTATTCTTGCTTATTTTTACACTCATCTTTCCGCCTCCTTTTTTATCTCTATTTCTGTCGTTATTCGTGTCTTTCTGCTTCAATTTTCTACTTGTCATGGCAGTTTTATGTGATTTTATCGCTGTGATTTCCACGATTTCTGATTGTTGTAATCTGTATCGTTATATTGAACCGGATTCCAAAATCTCCTTATCCGGTATTGGCAGACCTGAGAGTAACTGGAATTTCAACATTCACTAAATCGCTTTTACTACACGTTTGTTAGTTATGCATTGTATCGTTATACACCTCTTTACAAAATACCAACGCAAAACAGGCGGCGGCAGGAACGACATCCCGCCCCGCCTGAAACGCCACTTCTGCATCTTCAACTCCACCATCCCGTCCGAGTCCTCCATCGACAAGATCTTCGGAGTGATCGCCCGCGGACACTTCAGCGCCAAGAGGGGCTTCAACCAGGAGATCCGAGACATGCTGGAGAGGATCATACCGCTCACGAGGAAGCTGTGGGCGCATACGAAGGTAAGGGGGCGGTGGGCGGGGTGGGTAGGGGAGAGGGTGGGTTGATTGATATATAGAAGGGAGGGAAGGAAAAGGAGAGAGAGAGAGAGGAAGGGGAGGGAAAGAAAGAGAGAAAAGGGGAAGGAGAGAGAGAAGAGAAAAAGAGAGAAAAGGAGGAAGGGGGAGAGGGAAAGGAGAAGGGGGAGATAATGACAGAGGGGAGAGAGAGGAGCAGGGAGGCGAAAACAGAGAGAAAGAGCAAGAGGGAGAGAGAGAGAGGGAATGAAAGAGGGAGAGAAAGTGAGAGAGAGGAGGAGGAGACTGAGACCGAGAAAAAAGAATCAGAGAATATAACCATATTATTTACTCTACAAACATGGAACATTTTTTTCAAAACATACAGTAACATTTTTTTTTCACAGAGTAAGCTCCTCCCAACACCAGCCAAGTTTCATTACGTCTTCAACCTCCGTGATTTGTCGCGCATCTGGCAGGGGATGATCGGTGCCACGGCCAACGTAATAAGCACCAGTGACACTCTACTGGCTCTCTGGCGCCACGAGTGCTGCCGGGTGATAGCAGATCGGTATGTAGCCGACGGTCAGAGGGGATAATTCAGGTTGTGGTAATTGTAGTAGTTATCATTTGATTGTGATTTTTTGATGATTGTATTATCATAATAGTTTGTATTGATAATGATATTGATGATGCTGAAAGAAATAATAACGATAATGATAGAATCAATGGTAAAAGTAATAATTATGATAATGGTAATAGTAATAATTAAAGTAATGATAATGATGATAATAATGTTAATCGTGGTGATCATAATGATAGCAGAATTAATAAAGATGATAAAAAAATATGATATTCATATTAAAACCTAAATAAGGATAATGATGAAGCTATTACTTATATAAAAAAAAAAACATTAAGGTATTTTCTTCTCTAGCATACATAAAAAAATCCAAATTCCAGTTTCACGACACCCAAGGACGTGCGTTGGTTCGAGGACGCGATGGTGGCGCTGGCGAAGCAGGAACTTGGGCCGAGTCTGACCAAGAAGATCGCTCAGACGCACTACTTCGTCGATTTCTTGAGGTGAGACTTGAACTTGGAATTGAGACTAAGAAATGAAAGAAAAAAAAAGTAGTAAATGATCTTGGATAGAGTAAATATAGGTAAGTCAACGTAATGGAAATCGAGAGAGAGAGAGAGAGAGAGAGAGAGAGAGAGAGAGAGAGAGAGAGAGAGAGAGAGAGAGAGAGAGAGAGAGAGAGAGAGAGAGAGAGAGAGAGAGAGAGAGAGAGAGAGAGAGAGAGAGAGAGAGAGAGAGAGAGAGAGAGAGAGAGAGAGAGAGAGAGAGAGTTAGAGAGAGAAAGAAGACCAAGAAGATTTCTCAGACGCATTAGTTCGTCGATTTCTTGAGGTGAGACTTGAACTTGGAATTGAGACAAGGAGTGAATGATAATTAGGCAAGGTGACGCAATTGAAATCAATAGAGAGAGAGAGAGAGAGAGAGAGAGAGAGAGAGAGAGAGAGAAGACCAAGATCTCTCAGACGCATAATTTCGTTGATTTCTTGAGGTGAGACTTGAACTTGAAATTGAGACAGGGATTGAGTGATGATTAGGGGAGGTAAATAAAAGAATGAAATAGTATAGGATCTTGGATAGGTAAAATAGATTCAGATAAAAGGGTGATAGGAGCAAGACCGGAGAAAGTAATAAGAGGCGAATAAAAAAATAGTATAGGATCTTGGAGACAGTCAAAATATGTTATTCAATGAATATCATATTGTCGGTGGAACGTATACAAAGGAAAGATAGTTGAAGAATTAATTGAGACAGAATAGTAACGAAACATTGAATAATAATATGCAAATAAAATCAATGCAAATAAAATACGACACATTTTCAATAAGCAAAGAAAAATAATAAAAGTAAAAGAGTAAAGAAAGACGAACAAAGAAGCCGTAATGAGAAGAAAGATTTTCCCTTTTCTTTGTTTGATTGTTACATTATGAAAGGCTTGCTGTATACTTATTTTTTAAATATGTAAAGAAGAAGCATTATCTATGAAGAATGAGATTTTGAAATAGACTGAAGGGAAATGAAAACTGAATACAATATACACTCAAGAGTCTTCAGTTAATCATACTAGACTGTATTGACGCTAATAATGCTAATGCTAATACTAATTTTAATAATACCATATAACAAGTCTACAAGAAGGACGACCAAAAAACACATTTAAATCACAAAAAACAATAAACGTCCGCCCTTGGCCAACAGAGACGCCCCAGAACCCACGGGCGACGAGGCTGAAGACCTGGACATGGAGATGCCGAAGGTGTACGAGCCCATCCCGTCCTTCAACGCCCTCGAGCAACGCCTGCAGATGTTCCTGACGCAGTACAACGAGATCATTCGCGGCGCCGGCATGGATCTCGTGTTCTTCAAGGACGCTATGATCCACCTGACGAAGGTATGGGAGAGAGAGAAAAAAAGGAGGAAAGGGAGAGAAAGAGGAGGGAGAGAGGGAAAAAGGAAGGAGAGAGAAAGAGGAGGGAGAGAGGGAGAGAGAGAGAGAAAGACAAGTGAGTGAGGGAAAGGGAGAAGGAGGAGGAGAGAGAAATAGATTGGAGAAAAAAAAATTGCACTGATTTCGAAGAGCGTTTTCAGAAGGATAGATTTTACTTTGGTAGGACAAAGACTTCGTATCCAAACTTGATTACGTAATATTAATTTATATATAACCAAAATCAGGAAATGCTACTTCCTGTAATGATATATGACTATTTTTTTCATATAGCCCAAATTTCAGGAATTATCGATACTCAACTTTTTAAAATGAAAATCAATCTGAGAAATGCCATTAACCATAACAACACAAAGCGTATGTATGGTTTCTTTCAACTGCTAGATATTAAGCATGAAATCTAGAACTACCATTTGTCATAACACAAACACCTTTTTTCAATGCCTAGATAATAGGAATAAAAAAATAAATATAAGAACAAGACTTCCGATTTAGCCATAGCACAAACCCAGTTTTTTCTTCAACGACCAAATAATAAGAATAAGATCAAGACATGCTATTAAGCCGTAACACAAACCCAGTATATATATATTTTTTTCTTCCAACGCCCAGATTTCTCGCATCATCCGAAACCCGGGAGGCAACGCTCTCCTGGTCGGCGTCGGAGGCTCAGGCAAGCAGTCGCTCACGAAATTGGCTTCTTTTATCGCCGGTTATAAAACTTTCCAAATTACTCTCACAAGGTTGGTTGTCATTAAGGCGTTTCTGCTTTAGTAATTAGGATTAGATGTCTCCGTTGTTCTAGTAAGTTAGTTTGTAAGAGCTGCATCCTTTTTTTATCATTATCAATCGTTCCTAATTGGATCGAAAGGATTTTTTCTTAAGTTTATTTATTAGTCTGTTATTGTTTTCCGAGGTTAATCATTAAGATTTGTTTCATCTTAATTATGTATCTTAATCATTCATCTTGACTGTTTGACAATATTAGTGTTTTTTTCTAAATCTTGTTCATGTATGCGAAGAATGATAAAACTAATGTTTATTGACCATTATGTAAGGATATTTCCTGGTACATATCTGTAAATTAGTTCTATGATATATCATAATGTACCTGGATGAACAGTCATATTTAGTAATTGTTCATGCTTTTTTACGCTCACTTATGAACAGATCTTACAATACAACGAATCTCCTTGAAGACTTGAAAGTTTTGTTCAGGACGTGTGGCATCCAAGGCAAAGGCACCACGTTCATTTTCACAGATCAGGATGTGAAGGAAGAAGGCTTTTTGGAGTATCTGAACAATGTCCTTTCGTCGGGTAGGTGTTGGTTGTTGTGTGTGTCTCTTTCTCTCTTGTTTCTATTTCTTTCTGTCTCTGTATATGCCTGGATTTCGGGATCTCTTCTCTCTCTCTCTCTTCTCTCTCTCTCTTCTCATCTCTCTCTCTTCTCTCTCTCTCTCTGTCTCTCTCTCTCTCTCTCTCTCTCTCTCTCTCATCTCTCTCTCTCTCTCTCTCTCTTCTCTCTCTCTCTCTCTCTCTCCTCTCTCTCTCTCTCTCTCTCTCTCTCTCTCTCTCTCTCTCTCTCTCTCTCTCTCTCTCTCTCTCTCTCTCTCTCTCTTTCCTTTTCACCTTCCTTAAATTCAGTGATTTTAATCATGTCATATATCGTCCATCTACAATAATATTTATAATATTTACATTTATAGTAGAATAACGATAAGATAATGAAGAAAAATAATAGTAACAATTATAATGATGGCATAATGGCAATAATGATGATAATAACAACAATGATAATGTCGATGATGATAATGATAGTGATAATGGTGATGACAATAACTGTGAAAATAATGATAATGATGATTACAATAGTAACAATAATTATAGTAATAATAGCATGATATAACAATATTATAATGATAATAACAATAATTATAATGATAATAATAATATTAATATTAATAACGGTAATAACAATAATAATAACAACAATAATGTCAATACTATTATCATCATAACGCACAAGTATAACACACCCGCACTGCAACCCCAGGCATGGTGAGCAACCTGTTCAACCGCGACGAGCAGGACGAGATCGTGAGCGAGTTGATCCCCGTCATGAAGAGGGAGCACCCGCGCCGCCCTCCCACGCCCGAAAACGTCATGGATTTCTTCATTACGCGAACGAGGCAGAATCTGCACGTTGTCTTGTGCTTTTCTCCGGTAGGTTGGGTTTGGGTTGTTGAAGGGGAGGCTGTGAGGTTGTGAGGTTGGTATGTTGAGGGGGTGGGGTTAGGGGAAGGTATTGGGGTTTATGTTAAGGAGGTGTGTGTGTGTGTTGGGGGGGTATTGAGGTTGGTATGTTGAGGGAGGAAGGGGGATTATTGGTTGTAAGTTGGGGGGTATGGGTTGTATGTTGAGGGGGGGGTTAGGGGGTATGGGGTTGTATGTTAAGGGAGGGGGGTATTGGGGTTGGTGTTGAGGGAGGGGGGTTCGAGGGGTATTGAGATTGGTATGTTGAGGGGATATTGAGTTGTTATTTTGTTTATTTTATTTGAGAATGTTGAATTTGGTGGAGGGTTATTTTATAAGATGGGTGATCGTGGTTTAATGCAGGTTTGATGATTGACGTTGAAAATTATTTTTTAGGATAATACTGTGAACAAGGTTATTTTAATTGAGAGTTGGATCATGGATAGTTGATATTTGTCTCGTCATTTTATAGGTTTAAGTTACATAATCTAATACCATTAGAATGTCTACCCCTGTGAACATACCATCCCCTTTCCATCGTTAACCACATAAAAATACCAATCAAAATATTCATAAAAAAACACCAGGTCGGAGAGAAATTCCGGACGCGCGCGCTAAAGTTCCCGGGACTGATCAGCGGCTGCACGATCGACTGGTTCCAACCGTGGCCGAAAGAGGCGCTGGTGGCGGTGGCGTCGCACTTCCTCGAGGACTACGAGATCATCTGCACGGACGACACGAAGGCCAGTCTGGTCAAGAGCATGGGCTCCATCCATGACAACGTGGCGCAGCTCTGTTCGGATTACTTTTTGAGGTACATTTCGTTCTCTCTCTCTCTCTCTCTCTCTCTCTCTCTCTCTCTCTCTCTCTCTCTCTCTCTCTCTCTCTCTCTCTCTCTCTCTCTCTCTCTCTCTCTCTCTCTCTCTCTCTCTTCTCTCTCTCTCTCTCTCTCTCTCTCTCTCTCTCTCTCTCTCTCACTACAATCACAACACAAAATCTGTATCTTCCCATTTCTTCCAGATACCGCCGCGCAGCTCACGTCACCCCGAAGTCCTTCCTGTCCTTCATCAGCATCTACAAGAAAATCTACAACGAAAAGCGCGAGGACATTGGGGATTCGGCGGCAAGGATGACCTCCGGCTTGGACAAACTGCACGAGGCTTCCCAGGCGGTGCAGAGGCTCAGGGAGGAACTCTTCGTGATGGAGGAGGAACTCGCCGTGGCCTCGGAGAAAGCCGAGAAGGTGAGGAGAGAGAGAGAGGGAGAGAAGGGGGAAGAAGAGAGAGAGGGAGAAGGAGGGAGGATGGTTGGGTGGGATGAGAGAAGAAGGAGGAGGAAGAAAGGAAGGAGAAAGGTGAGGGAGAGAGAGAGAGAGAAGAAGAATGGCACAGATAGACAGATAGACAGACAGAAAAAGTATTGCCAGTTCTACTACTAGGCTATAAATTTACCCCTAAGTATCTCTTTGCCACTCTTGCCTCAGCATCATCACCACTAACTATTAAAAACATAATTGCATACAGTAACCCAGTCAACCAACAGGCAAACCAACTCCAGTCACATTATAATCCCAACAAAACCCGCCCTTAGCAACCGACAACCATCTCCCCCCAAGACCTATATGCTTAAATAGACCTTGCCTTCCCCTCCCTCAGATCTTGGTGGAGGTGACGAGGCGCGCGCGGGAGGCCGAGACCATCAAGACCGAGGTGGAGAAAGTGCGAGACAAGGCCCAGGCGCTCGTCGACGACATCGCCAAGGACAAGTCGATCGCCGAGGAGAAGCTGGAGGCGGCGAGACCGGCGCTGGAGGAGGCCGAGGCGGCGCTCAACACGATCAAGCCGGCGCATATCGGTGGGTGTGGCGAAGGGAGAAAGGGTTGGGATTCGGGCTGTGTGGATGCAGGGGTTTGCGTTTGATAGTTTTTGTGTGTTTTTGCCTGTTCGTGTTTCTGCATTTGATTGTTTTTTGTGCTTTTGTTTATTTTGCTTTTTTGTGTCTTGTAAATTTTTGTTTTTTTCTTTCCTTTATTTTCCATTGTGTTTTTGATTTTGTTTATATTTGTGCGTTTTGTGCATTTGGTTCTGTTTGTGGTAGTATATATGTTCTATGTTTTTTTTCGTGTTTGAATGTGTATGTGTATGTCATGTTTGTTTTATGCGCTTGCGTTTACGTTTTAGTTTTACTTTTAATGTGTCACTTTATTATTCATATATATGTTTGCACGTCTTTTTTATCATTTTTTCCCTTAATGTGTTTCTTTCCCATCCGAAATCCCAAACATAGAAATATAAACCAGAAAAATAAATCAAGACAACAAATTCAAGAAAATACATCGCACTAACTTCCCTTTTTCTCCTCCCTTCCAGCCACAATCCGCAAACTGGGTCGACCTCCTCACCTCATCATGCGAATCATGGACTGCGTGTTGCTCCTCTTCCAGCGTCGACTGCAGCCTGTCAGAGGCGACCCTGTGGCAGCCTGTCCCAAACCCTCTTGGCCCGAGAGTCTCAAGGTTAGAAAGATATGCGTATGTGCTCATATGTGTGTCTTTTTAAAATACATATGTGTTCTGTCCCTTGGAGAATAGATAGATTAATGAATAGATAGATATAGCTGTTTGGAAATAGATATGGATTGGTAATCATATAGGTATAGATTGATTGACAGTTAGATATAGTTATTAGATAAATATAACCAACAACACACAGATGGATATAGTCAATATAGACAGATAGATATAGTTAATACACGGATAGACAGAGCTAGTAGTCGGAAAGGTATTACCAACACATAGATAGACACAACCAGTAGACAAATAGATATAGCCAATAAACAGATAGTTTCAACCTACAGACGAACAGTAATACCCAACAGCCCGACAGACATAAACAACCAGACGCACAAACACAGCCCCTAAAAATCTCTTTTCTCCCGCCCGCAGATGATGGCCAGCACGACCTTCCTCCTGTCGCTGCAGAACTTCCCTAAGGACACGATCAACGACGAGGTGGTGGAGCTGCTGGAGCCCTACTTCGACATGGAGGACTACGACATGGAGACGGCCAAGAGGGTCTGCGGCGACGTGGCGGGGCTCCTGTCGTGGACGCGCGCCATGGCCTTCTTCTTCGGCGTCAACAAAGAGGTCCTACCGCTTAAGGTATGGCGGGAGGAGGGGTGGGGTGAGTAAGTGTGTGTGTGTGAGTGTGTGCATGCATGTGTGCGTACGTACATGTGTATGTAGGGGGTTGGGTGTCTGGATAGGTGTGGGTGTTTGATGGGTGTGTCTGTGATTTTGTTTACAATTGTTTTGCACTTGTATGTTTATCAATGATGTTTTCTATGATGTGATGGACCGTGAGGAAAGGGTGCTTTGATAGAGAATGCGTTATAGACATTCTGTTGTATGTTGTAATAAGAACATAATAGACGATCTACATGTAAAAATGTATTAAATTGATCTTCTACCTTTTTCTTCAACCCCCACTTCCTACTATTCTCCCGTCTATCTGCCTGTCCTCCATCTTCCCTTCACCCATCCCCCCTTTCTTCCATCCCCGTATTTCCACCCATTCCTTTCTCACCTTTACCCTTTCACTTTTTCTCCCCCGACCCCGATTTACACCTATTCCTTCCATCCCTTCCCATCCCCTTTCTTCCCTCCCTACCCCACCCCACATACATCCCTTCCTTTCACCCTTTCCCTTTCTTCCCTCCCATTTCTTCCTTCCTTCCTCCACCCCCCCCCCTGTTCCCTCCCATCCATCCCCCCGCGCAGTCCAACCTGGCCCTACAAGAAGCCCGCCTGCGCGTCGCAATGGCGGACCTGGAGCGCGCGCAGGCCGAACTGGACGAGAAGGAACGCGAACTGGACGTGGTGCGCGGCCAGTACCAAGTGGCTCTGGCTGAGAAACAGAAGCTGATCGATGCCGCCGACGTCTGCAGGAGGAAGATGCAGGCAGCGGCCACCCTCATCAACGGCCTGGCTGGGGAGAAAGTTCGCTGGACGGAACAGAGTAAAGCTTTTCGGGAACAGCTGGGGCGGTGAGTGAGAAAGGGGAAGGGGAAGGGAAGGTGGATAGGGGTGATGGTGATAAAGAGGACGGTAATGGTAGTGATTGTGATAATACTTTTAATGATGATAAAATGACTATAACTTGTAATGATGATAATAGTAATGATGGTAATAGCAATAATACTACTATTGCTGTCGTTATAGTATTTGTAATAGTACTAATACTTATTATGATAAATTGATAAAAATATTGATTATTTATGGTAGTAAGAATGATGATGTTAATGATACTAGTAATAATGATATCAGTAAAGAAAATAATGATGATATGCCTAAGGATACTGCTAAGAACGACGAGTGACTACGGTAAAATTTTCCTATACATTCGTGAATAACTTAATTAAATTTGATGTATTATTTTAACATCTATTTAGAAACATTCCATCAGTTTGCATATATTTAGAATAACACTTCTCAGATAATCATACACACACACACACACACACACACACACACACACACACACACACACACACACACACACACACACACACACACACACACACACACACACACATAATATATATATATATATATATATATATATATATATATATATATATATATATATATATATATATGTATATATATATATATATATATATATATATATATATATATATATATATATATATATATATATATATATATATGTATATATGTATATATATATATATATATATATATATATATATATATATATATATATATATATATATATATATATATATATATATATATATATATATATATGTGTGTGTGTGTGTGTGTGTGTGTGGTTTATGTATGTATGTGTGGGTTGGATATATATATATATATATATATATATATATATATATATATATATATATATATATATATATATATATATATATATATATATATATATATATATATATATATATATACTATATATATATATAATTATAATATATAATATAATATATATATATATATATATTATATATTATAATATGTATGTGTGTGT